AGTGGAGTAACTATCTATTTGTAGGCAAACGCAGCAGCCAATTTGCACACACCAAGTTCCCAGAAAAAAAATCATGAAGTAAATAACCAATTAATCAAGAGGATTGTTGCTCAGGGCACCAGGCCTCTTTTCAAATACTGTAATAAGCACTTTAACGTCCAATTAACCTCCTGAATAGAATAATAATATTCTAATAATCCTTCCATTTGAAATGGCACCTTTCACGCCTTCGATACGTCTCAAAGTGAATTGACTGTATATTTGTGGATGGAAAATGGCGGTCAATTGCGCACAGCAGCGTCCCACAAAGATCGGACCTCGGTTTAACGTTGCCCACCTCTTGCAGAGAATCTCTTGCCCCCTCGCAGCCTCAGCACAATGCTAAGTGGAGTAACTATCTATTTGTAGGCAAAGGCAGCAGCCAATTTGCACACAGCAAGTTCCCAGAAAAAAAATCATGAAGTAAATAACCAATTAATCAAGAGGATTAGGAATTCCCTCAACTGCAATATGCCCCAACGGTGGTGACCTATTGCGTGCAGCAGAACAAGATATTGACCAAATTAAGTCAGTATCGTCTTCCGTTGCATTCAGTGTTCGGGGTGGTTGATTTGACTGAAATCCAGTGCCTGGAATCACAACACAGCCTCACAATGCTCCATTAACAGCACAAAGCTGTCCCTCCCTTCCCTCCCCTCACCCTGACCATTTCCCCCCAATGCTCGGGTCCTGACCCAACTGTACAGCGCCTTGGGACGTCCTCCCGACGTGAAAGGCGCTCAATAAATGGAATCTTGTTGTTGTTATCTCAAAGGAGGTGAGTCAGGAATGGGTTACTCCAGTCACATTATTATAGTATTGAACAATAAGAAATTATTGATGCAATAAATATCACATCTATTGTGTTATGGAATGGCACTAATTTCACCCTATTGTATCTAATATCGCTACCCCCTTCCTTCCTTTCTTCTTTTCTATTTTCTTTCTTTCATTTTGCCCACAAAAGTGGAGTCCTGTAGCTCAGTGGTTAGACTCCACACACATGCCTCTGTTTACGTAGCAGTAAGTAGGAACCTGGTTGTTAGTCGATTGGTGGAATGTTTTTCCGGGAATAATAATTCCTTCAAAATAAAAATAATTTGGTCGCTCAAACCACGACTGCCTGTGGGACACTGCTGCGTGCAATTGGCTGTTGCGTTTCGCCCACAAAATATACAGTCAATTCGCTTTATTCTGTGAAGCGCTTTGAGGCGTCTCGAAGATGTGATAAGGCACTGTATCAAATGCAAGGATTATTATTTTATTTATTTGGTTTCTTTTCTTTCTTTGTCTCTCTCTCTCTCTCCCTCCCTCCCTTCTGGATGTTTTACAGTCAGGAATATTTAATTGTCAATCCAGCCTTACCTTCAGCATGTATAAGTTGCTGTTATTTTGTCATATTTAAGATAGGTTCCAATTAGCAGCTCAGTACAGTTGACATTAAGGAACAAAGAATGGAAATAAAGATAATTACCATCACGGAGTGATATCCAGTTAGAGAACCGAATTGCAAATTTGTATGTTTTAACTAAACTTCAAACGCTGCCTTACCCTTTTGTTATTTTCATTCATGTCGAACTTCTGTAAAGTGTTGCTGACATTTTCATCTATCTTTCCATTTGTTGTCTAAAAAGGTTGCTGTTTCCTGAAACAATGACAAGTGCAAAGATAAAAATAATTTCAATTATGCTTTCAGATCTTGTCTATTGTATGATATTGAAATTCTATAATACATGCGTAAGAGCTGATTTCAAGGAGTCACGCTTAAACAGTGGAGCAAACTGTAGCTTTCATCTCCTCATTCGTGCGTTTGTTAAGAATTTAGTACCCATTTATTTTGTTAATCCCCAACAACCTTAGTTTGGGCTAAAGCTACGGTCTGCGTTCGATTTAATTGTATTGATTGTCCACTGTTTTTAAGATATGAATAATATTTCCAAGCATGCTGCAGCTTGGAGCTGAAAAAGTTAAAGAAGTGACTTAAGTGGGATTCAATGTTGATTTGACTGCAAAATCATTTTACAAAGCACATAAAGTACATTGAACTGTTCTGTATTCTCAGCACAAAATAATTGATCACATTTGTTGCCAGCAATCTGCGAAGGTGTTATTCTTTCAGTTGCCTGCAAAACAAATATGGTGTTCACTGATTACTTGTAATAATAGACTTAAAACCCACGCCTTATATTTCTGAACACTCAAAAGACTAATAATAATAATCCTTGCATTCGATATAGTACCCTATCACGTCTTCTCGACTGAATTGACTGTATATTATAAACCAGCAGAGGGGAAATATCTGGAATATCAACGTACGAATTCTGTTAGCTTCCTTCTTTTCCTACGTTTGTGTGTCTGTATGGAGGCCAGCAATAACAACAACTTAGATTTATATAGCGCCCTCCACGCCGGACGTCGACTCAGAGCGCTTTACAGTTTAGGATCCCGGGACCGAGCCAGCAGCAGCGTCACGTCACAAGATCACAAGAGAGGTTAAGATGAAGACAGCCCTTCAGCTAATTTCATCTCATCTGTCCAGAAATCCCATCCTACTGTCAACGTCCTACTGAGTTCCAGAACTGGTCAGATGGGTGACCTTGACTGCAAACTCGGATGCACACCCTTCTCTGTCCAGCATCTCGGGATGTCCTTCCGATGTGAATGGTGCTATATAATGCAATGTGTTGTTGTTCTTGTCATTGTTGATGCGTCTCTGAGACACCACCTTGTGTGGAAGATGCTATATAAGTGCAAGTTGTTGTTGTTACCTGAAAGCATTGTTCTGAGTTTGCTTTCTCAATCCCATTTAAAATCTTGTATATCTCTATAAGGTTCCCTCTGCGACAACTCCTTTCAAGACTGAAAGAGCAAAGCAGCTCAGAGATTTTTAACCCAGTGCACCTGCACACTGCAGCATTTCAGCTAACCAATGCTGAGATGCTGTACATTATATAGTAAATAATAATAACAATCCTTGCATTTGATATGGAGCCTTATCGAGCTCTCTGGGACCCTATCCTGCGTGACAGGCGCAAGATAAATGCAAAATGTTGTTAGTGTTATCATGTCGTTGAGACATCTCAAAGTGCTTCACAGGATTTTACTAATATAAAGCATAGTCGCTGTTTATCTGTGTACAAACATTGTTACTTATACGACCAGTGTTTATTTTCTCTGGAAGTCCCTGCCTCAATCTGTCTGCCTCTCCCTCCTTGCCTATCTTTAAATCCCAACTTTAGACCTACCTTTTTGACCACATCCACCCCTTTGATAAATTACACGGTTTTACACATTTAATTAGAACCAATATTAAAAAGTCTCAAAGTGCTTCCCAGGGAATTGATGTAAAGTGTAATGTCTGTTTATTTGTGGATAAATGTAATGGAAATATGACTATTGTCTTGATGGCTGGTTTACAGAATATAAGATAAATGTTTATATTTTATATCAGTTTGGTCAATAAGCCCACAAAGTACATAATATCATGTTTATTTTCCAAAAAAAACTTTGCAAAACAACATTACATTTGCAAAACAACAATACATGAAGTATTTATTCTTGAACATTAAAACTTAAATTCTGTTTGTAGTAGTTTTTGTAACCATCGCACTGCATGAAATGGATACATGTGAGAAATACAGCACAGTGACACTAACATACAGCTGTTCATCATTATATTGAACAATGATTTAATAAGGCATTTTATGATCTCAAAAAATATTCAGAAACACTGAACATGAAAATAATGCTCATACAACACATTTGAATTTGCCTTTCAATATTTTCAGCAATAATAAATATTAATAATAATCCTTGTGTTTCATATAACACTTTTACAGGTCAGGAGGATGTCTTAAAGCACTTCACAGGATATCCTTAAAGACTGTGTATTTTGATTACTTGATGGATAAAACTTTGGCAACATGTCTTTTTCTCTAAACCTACAATACCCACAAATATATCTGACGAGAAAATGGAACTCTATTTATAATTTTACAGGGTGTTTTTTTTACAATTTTGTTTTGCTGTGCTTTTAACCTCATTCTGTGACACAATTTTAGATGTTTCAAGGCATTACGCCTGAGGTGTGGCAATTTTATAATCATCTTGTCTACGTTTAAAAAAAATTAAAATAACAAAGGACAGCAGATCTTCAGAATCCATAATTGTCTGAGTGGTACTCACTAAAGTCTCATTCACAGTAAGGGGCGAAATAATTAATTTGATTAGAGTGTCCACTGGAAATACAGAACCAGCTGCAGTGTCAAATTTGTTTTGCTCCCATCTTACAAATTGAACATTTTGGACAGTTTCAAAGAGAATTAGCGCCACTGGATCTTTGTATTTTGTGGAAAAAAAACAAGCAGTTTAACCTTGAATCAAACAATAGACAGACGAGTCAAGTCGAGGACAGACAGAAACAGAACGAGAGAGAAAAGCAACCGTGACAAAGAAAACCTGTGTTTTAAAGGAAACTATTCTGAAACCTGGAACTTGGTAAACTTTGGTGCTCGTTTTATTTGTTTTTCATTCTATCTTTAACTTAATTCCTTTACACCCTGGGTTGCATGTAGTATTCCCTCTTCACAAAATGTATTGATTAGCATGTCGGAATGTCTCAAAGTGAGTTTTCTGTGCAGCGTAGTGACTGTGTATTTGCTGGACAACCTGGCAGCCGATTTGCACACAACAACGTTCCACAAACAGCCATGAAGCGAATGACAAATTTTAACTGTGGGTCAGGGCACTGAGAGGAACTTCTCTTTTCCGATAGTGTTGCAGAATCTTTAAGGTCCGTGTGAATGAAGATAGGCAAATGGGGACCTCAGTTTAATGTCTCATCCAAAGGACTGCACCTCGGACATTGTAGCTCTCCCCCCACCCGGTGCAGCACTGGACTATCCGTTTGGACCATGAGCTCAAAGTTGCTGATGATAAAACTGTTCCTCTCGAGTCTTACCTTAGACGCTGTCGGTCCTGGGGATGTGGCTGAGCGTCATGGACTCGGTGCGGGAAAGCGAACGGCGCGAGGTGTGGTGCAAACGTTGATTCCTCGGGTGGAAGGAGCCACCGATCGCCACTCCTCTCTGTCGGTTCTTCAGGTACTCCTTGTAGTTCTTGGTCAGCAGGGTGTAGAGGAAAGGGTTGATGCAGCTGTTGCTGTAAGTCAGGCAGGTCATCAGGTAGTTGATGTGACCTTGTGTCCTCTGGCTCATGGAGAGAGGCGGGTGGTAGAGCTGGATGAGTTGCCATACCCAGAAGGGCAGGAAACAAGCCCAGAAGACCAGCACAATGGTGAAGATCATGTAGAGCACTTTGTGGTTGGGGGATCTCTTGGTTTGGTTATTGTTTAAGGCAGTGGCCTGTGAGACCCAATAGGTCCTGGCCAGCCTGATGTACAGGTAACCTATCACAATGCCGGGGGCTAGGATACTGGTGGAGAACAGCACGCTCAGGTAGATCTTATTGTTCTCCAAACTCCAGGCGGGGAGGCAAATAATTTTGTCCTGGACGCGTTGCAGTTTGATGATGATGATCATGGGGGTGGCGAGGAGCAAGGAGCAGAGCCAGAGGAGACCCGCGATGGCCTTGCGGTAACCTTTGGGTCTCTTGACCGTGTCCAGCGGCCGGACTACGGCCAAGTACCGCTCGGTGCTCATGACAGTCAGCGTGAAGATGCTGGCGTGCATGGTCAACAGGTCCACGCTGAACAACAGCCGGCAGCCCAGGTCTCCAAAGTACCAGCCCTTGGCGAAGTAGGTGCAGACCACGAAGGGGATGGTGCAGAGGTACAGCAGGTCAGCCAGAGCCAGGCTGGTGATGTAGACGTACATGGAGGCGGTGGACCGCATGGAGTGACACATCATCACCAAAGTGTGGACATTGCCGGTCACCCCGGTGACCAGCATCGCCGATAAAACTGTCCCGATAGCGTAGGTGACCAGCAACTCATCCACTGACCTGCCCCCAGTCGTCAGCTCCGTCAACGAGTCATTATTGATGGTGTTGCTGCTGCTGTTGGTCCCCATCAATGCGACTCCTGTAGCCATCGCTGCCTCTTCAGTGGCAACAAGCTGATGAAGTCTCAATTGATCATTTAGCCTTTTTACACCGTCTCTCCTCCGCTCGCCTCTCCCGGACTAAGCGGTTTCAGCTCCTTCCTTGGAAAAGGGAGAGAGGGGAAGAGAGAAGGAGGGAGAGAGGTGGGGGGGGAAGGAGGGAGAGAATGAGAGGGAGAGAGAGGAGGGGAGTAAGAGAGAGAGGGGGGATGGAGGAGAGAGGGAGGGAGGAGAGAGAGAGAGAGGGATGGACGAGAGAGAGAGGGGGAGGAAGGCAGGAGGGAGGGAGGAGAGAGAGGGAGGGAGGAGAGAGAGGGGGAGGGAGGGAGGGAGGAGAGAGAGGGGGAGGGAGGCAGGAGGGAGAGAGAGGGGGGGAGGGAGGCAGGAGACAGGGAGGGAGGAGAGAGAGAAACTTCAAACCTTGTCAAATCCAAACCAATTTGCAAACTCTCCAGTTTCTCAGCTGAACTGGTTTGTGCCTTTTTTTTTGTTGGTGGTTGGTGTGTTATCGCCTTGAGATGGATGGTGTCTTTATTACTGTCTCCTCTTCCTTCCTCACCAAGGACTAAAGCAAAGATTTATCTTCTTCCTGGGGGGGGGGGAGTTAAAAAAAAAAACGGGAGAGAGAGGAGAGAGGATGGGGAGGAATCTTGTCAATCCAAGTTGCCAATTCCAACTCTCCCAATTTTGCTGCTGAACTTGTGCTGTTCGATGGGATATGGACTGCTCTGCTCTGGTCTCTGGTCACTGCTCTGGTCACCTCTCTGGTCTCTGGTCACTGCTCTGGTCACCTCTCTGGTCTCTGGTCCAGCTGCTCAGTTGGTTTAGGTGAGTGACTTTTATTGCCCTTCAGTTGGAGATGATGAACAGCGACAGATTGTGAAGCACTCTCTGGACCAGATGATGGAGGAAGCAGAGGCTGTGTGTTGTCCCACCTGCCCATCCCTGTGTGTTGTGTTGTGTGTGTTGTGGCCCCACAGCTATTTATGCTGTCGCTGACGTCCACTTTGATGTCTTTCTTCAGCCTCTGACTCTCTCAGATTGATGGGCATTTTGCAAATACAGTATATAACCCAATTCCCTCACTGTTCACTCGATTCGCATCCGACCCCCACCCCCTTTCTGAGTAATGTGGTGCTAACAGCTGATTTAGATTTAAATGAGTTAAGGTCGGGCTCTGACCACACTGCACTATCCACTAACCCAGAGAAGGCTTTACTCTCGTGTTCCACTGTTGTTGCTTCGTTCAGACCTCTTTTTAAATAAAAAAAAATCTAAATCTGTTGTAACTATGCAATTCCCGTTTACCCGAATTCTGATCCCAAAATAGGATCGTTTGTTGCTGTCTTGTTGCCCTGCACCAGTTAGTCACTGAGAGCATCTGCAGGACTGATGCTCTGCATCAAGCAATCACACAGACTGAGTTCCGCTTAATTAACTTCCCATCATCAGTAAATTACTGATTGATATGTATTGATATCTCTTTTGTATTATAATAATAATAATCGTCATCATCCTCGCATTTGATACAGCGCCTTATCACGCCGTTGAGACGTCTCCGAGCGCTTCACAGTAAAGTGGATTGACTGCGTATTTTGTGGGCGAAACACGGCAGCCAATTGCGCACAGCAGCGTCCCCACAAACAGTCGTGGATTGAGTGAGCGGCTTTGGAGCAGTGGGGGCACTTCAATAGGAACTAATAATAATCCTTGCATTTAATGTAGCACCTTATCACATTGAAATGTTTCAAAGTGTTCAACAGAATATTTTTTCCCTGTGATGTGTAGTGACTGTGTACTTGTAGGTGAAGACAGCAATCAATTTGTGCACAGAAACATCTCACCAACAGTGAAGGAGCTTTTTCTGAATCTGAGTCTATGAAGAAGGCTTGACAGAGAACGTTAAAGGTAATACCAAATACTTCTTTGACTTTTAATTGTTATGTAGTGAAAACATATCAAAGAAATGTTCTTTTCGACTGAAGGATCTGAATATCGTTCCACACTTCCTTTAAACATTCAGGTTGAAAAATTACATCTCAGAGGGACCTCATAGAAAATACACAATCAATCCACTTTACAATCCACTGTGAAGCACTTTGAGATGTCTCAATTAGGTCATAAGGCTCTATATCAAATGTAATGATTATGATTAAAATTATTAATATTGCATAAGACTCTCAATGGGACTGAGAAAATCAAACCTGATTGATATCTACAATTATGCTATCATCAGAACAACAGGAAATAGGTTCATGAATGTGAAGGACAATTTCAGGGCAGACCCTAGGAAGTATGTCTTTACATAGAGAGTAACTAACGGCTGGAAAGGGTTACGAAAAGCTGGTTTAGCCCAGTGCACTGAACTTCACAGTATACTCTGTGAAGTGCTTTGAGACATCTCGAAGATGTTATAAGGCGCTATATCAAATGCAAAGATTATTATTAATTATGCAAGCATTATAGGATTATTAATTCAGTTACGTCCCCAAGGAAAGGCAAGTGGCCATTCTGGAAGTATGACTTTAAACGGATATAAATGGCTTTTTCATTCAAACCATGACGCATTGATGATAGGTTCCCACATGTGTCAGACACCCCCCCAAAAAAATCATTAAAACCTTCTGATCTTGTGAAATTGTTTGCAGGAACTGGTGTCAACAGTCAAAAACTGCAGAGTATCAGTGCTCTCTGCTGGTAATAAAGCGGCACTGAAGGCAATTGTGGTACCTTTGCCTACCCTCTTTCACCTGAATAGATGCTGTGATGGAATAGGAGATTTGGGGTTGACAAATATCCTCGTTTTTGTTTCCTTTGTATTTTTTACACTCGACGATGTTAATCCTGGGGAATTTAAAGCACTCGCATGATACTGCCGCACTAGAGACTTTTCAACCCTAACTTCATAAGAACACCAATGAAACCATTTCACCAATTCCCGCACCAGCCATCCTCATTGCCTCTGTCGCTGAGATTGTGAATTCAGTACCAAATTGCGGGAAGCTCTGCGCCCACGAGTGGAGTCAGACTATTCAAATACTTTCGGTACAGGATTGTGGGAGCCAACAATCAAGATAATTCCACCCAGCAAACTGATCTGAGAGATTATTGTTTGCCTCTGCTGTCTTTCAAAGTTAGGAGACAGTGTGATATTGTGTAAATCAGGAAAACCTGTCAGTTATTTGCTACAAGTTTTGGTTTTGTGTCCCATTTTTGTTGTTGCTGCTCACTTGTAACTCTCACTTGCAACAACTAAATCTCCTCAGTTTCACATGCTTTGCTAACAGTCGGACATTTTTAATGCAATGCGCTGTGACACTGTTTCGTGGTAATCATAAGTATCGGGTTGATCCCAGTTCTGGTCATTGTAGGAGATTCAGCCTGATATATAATTAAGTCCACAAGTTAAAGACCATCTTATTTTCTCTTAGGCCCGGGGAATGTTCTGGAAAAACAGCGTGTCTACTAAATATGAGAATTGGATATGTGAACTCAGAGCAAACATCAGTTGAGAGGACTGATTACCCTTTGTGGAAATATCCGTTTCATGTCACTTCTTATATTGATTTTTTAATTTTTTAAATCTATTTATTGCTTTGTTCTTATATTCCTTTGAACATTATTCTCAGCACTTACTTTCTAGCTTGAATATCAGTTTGATTCACGAACAAGTAACAAAGCACCAACTCACCAATCAATAAAAGTATATAAATGTAAATTTGTATTGTACTAAGTAATACTTACATTTTATACAGTATCTTATTTCATCAAAATTATTTCAAGCGCTTGATAATATGCATTACTTTGAAGTGTGGCGCTGGTTTTGTAGCCAATGACAAATTAATTTACACAAACACCAAACAACAGTGAGAATAATCATTTTGCCGAATTTTGATTCAAAGAAAATATTAAGAATTCTCCATTTCAATACAGTGTCTTGTCAGGTCAGGAGTACGTCTCAAAATCCCTCATAGGATTTAATGTAAAGGTGCAGTGATTGTATATTTTATAGGCAATTGCAGCAGCCAATTTGTGTGCAACAATGTCTCACAAATAGCAATGGAGTGAATAACCAATTTTATTTGGGGGATTGTTGGCCAGTATACCCTCACTGACACCTCTTCTCCTCTCACCCTTCTCCACAACACCCTCTCCTCCACACTCGATACTCTTGTCCCCATCACCTCCTGCACTGTCTCCTACTCCCGCTCCTCCCCCTGGTTCACCACCCACCTCCGCTCACTGAAAAGCCGGGTACGGGCCGCTGAACGCACCTGCGTCAAATCTGGCCTAACGGTCCACCGACAAATCTGGCTGGACCTCCTCAAAATCTACTGCTCCACTCTAGCCTCGGCCAAGTCGTCCTTCTACTCCAGGATAATCCTGGAGGCGAAGAACAACCCCAGGCTACTGTTTTACCACATCCCGACTCCTCCGTCCCCCCCGCCACCCCGCGCAGGTCATCTCCTCCAACCTTCACTGCGAGGAGATGCTGGATTTCCTTGAATCCAAAATCAAGGGAATTCGCTCCGCGGTCACTTCCCCTCCAACATCCACCCACCCCCACCCCTCCCTCCCACACTCCGACTCCTACCCATCCTCCCCTACACACTTTCGTACCCGTTTCCCCACCCTCTGTCACCAAACTCATCCTATCCCTGAAACCCACCACCTGCTCCCTTGACCCCATCCCCACTCCACTCCTTATCTCCCAGCTCCACCTCCTTGCCCCACATATCACAGACATCGTCAACCTGTCCCTCTCCTCTGGCTCTGTTCCCATTCCCTTAAAAACTGCCACCATCACTCCCACCTTGAAAAAACCCTCCCTTGATGCGTCGCAGCTATCAAGCTACCGGCCCATCTCCAACCTCCCCTTCCTGTCCAAGGTCCTGGAACGAGTTGTCGCCTCCCAGCTGCGCTCTTTCCTCTCCACCCATTCATTATTCGAACCCCTTCAGTCGGGTTTCCGTGCTGCCCATAGCACAGAAACTGCCCTGGTCAAGGTCACCAATGACATCCTGACCATCTGTGACCAGGGCTCCCTCTGCCTCCTCGTCCTCCTCGACCTATCGGCAGCATTCGATACGGTCGACCACGCTATCCTCCTCCACCGCTTGTCCTCCCACCTCAACCTTCAAAGCCCTGTCCTTGAGTGGTTTAGGTCGTACCTCTCCCACCGGCTTCACTTTGTTTCCACGAATGGCTTTTCCTCCACCCCCCGCACTGTCTCGTGCAGCGTCCCTCAGGGCTCTGTCCTCGGTCCCCTCCTCTTCACCCTCTATATGCTCCCCCTGTGGTGACATCATCCGCAGACATGGGGTTAACTTCCACATGTATGCGGATGACACCCAACTCTACCTTTCCTCCTCTACCCTCAACTCCACGACCACCGATGTCCTGACAGCTGCCTGTCCGACATCGAGTCCTGGACGAGAGACAACTTTCTTCAGCTCAACGTGCGTAAAACTGAGGCCCTCCTGATTGGCTCACGTCAGCGCCTCCGCACCTCAGGCGCTGACAGCATCAGCATCCAAGGCTGCACTCTCCACCTCTCAAAGCCATCAGGAACCTCGGGGTTCTCTTCGACCCTGAGCTGTCCTTTCTTCCTCATATCCGCACCACAACTGGCACCGCCTTCCATCACCTCCGGAATATCGCCAGACTACGGCACTACCTCACCCCTCACGCTGCTGAAACTCTGGTCCACGCCTTTATCACCTCAAGGCTGGACTATGGGAACTCTCTCCTCGCCGGCCTTCCCGGCACCTCCCTCCACACTGCAGGTCATTCAGAACTCTGCAGCTCGTGTACTGTCCCGCACCAGGCTTCGCGACCACATCACTCCCACCCTCGCTCGCCTCCACTGGCTCCCCATCCCCCAGAGGATCGAATTCAAGATCCTCATCCTTACCTACAAGGCCATTCACGGCCTCGCTCCCTCCTACCTCTCCGACCTACTATCCCCCTACCTACCTGCCCATACCCTCCGTTCCTCTGGCTCCGGTCTGCTCCACATCCCCCGCCCCAACTGCCCTACCATCGGTGGCCTTCAGCCTCTCAGCCCCGAGGCTCTGGAACTCTATCCCCCAGTGCCTTTGCCGCCTCCTCCCTTTCCTCCTTCAAGGCCGGTCTCAAGACCTTTCTCTTTGACCGTGCCTTCAGATCCCCTCTCAACTCTCTACCCGCTCCCTCCCTTCCCTCCCCTCACCCTGACCAGTTCCCCACTGCTCGGGTCCTGACCCAACTGTACAGCGCCTTGGGACGTCCTCCCGACGTGAAAGGCGCTCTATAAATGGAATCTTGTTGTTGTTATACCAGAGAAACTCCCTTCTCTTTTCGAATATTGCCAGGGGATCTTACTGTCCAGATGAACAGTTTAACGCCTCATCTGAAGGACAGCACCTATGACAATGCAGCACTCCCACAGTATGCGATTGCAAACCCGGGACTGTCCAGCAGCTTGGGACATCCCCCTGACGCGAAAGGCGCTATATAAATGTAAATTCATATTGTATTGAAGTGTCAGTCTACACTGTATGTAGTTTGTAGTAACGCTGTAGTTTCAGCGCCTTGGGACGTCCTCCTGACGTGAAAGGCGCTCTATAAATGGAATCTTGTTGTTGTTGTTGTATGAGTTCAAAGCCCCACGGCCAGGACCCAAAGAGAGAGAGATGCCCTGTGACCCTTTCTTGGCTCCACAAGGTACCTGGAGATATTGTACTCAATAACAATCGAGTACAGGAAACAAGTTCAGAATTCATTTTCCTGGATAGAGTTACAGACCTTGAAGCAACTTGGAAGAGAACCTCACAGGCAGGAGAAACTTCATCTCTGGACTTCTGTGCAGGCTTTGATGCAAGTGATTTGATGTTGAGCTTCAAGTGCAGGAACTCTTGTGTTCCTGCTATAAGCGCAGACATCTGGCTTACGCAAATCACTTCATTTATATCTTTGTTATAATTTACTTCTGTTTTTATTAAACACGGTGAATCGCTAACACAGTCCCTGTTATGTTTGGAGAAAGTCAAATGAAGGGTAGCATGTGGTAAGACAGTTTATTATATTATTACAATAAGTGCAATAGAAATTTTCTATCAGATTTACAAAGCCCTATGCTGTTGAAAGGGCAGTGTTGAACTGGACAAGGCAAGGCCTTACTGGTTAAACAAGTTTAGATTTTGCAATGACTAGACAATTTTCACTGAACAGAGCAAATCCACATTCTGGATATCAACAGTAAGTTAGCTATCAGTCAGTTGAGATATGTTCTTGTCTGAGAAGTTCCCAGTGTGTGTTTTCAGAGCAGGTGAACACAAATCTTATTACAGCAGTACCAGTGAACTTAATACACACACACACACACACAGAAAATGAAGTAAAGCATCACAATACTGAAGGAGGCTGCTCATATAAAAGATATTCCAGACAGGTTAAAATATAAATACATTAAAGTAATACCGTGTCTGCACATAGGATATCCTTCGAGGACTGTGATAGCATTTTGATCACACAGCATGAAATATGAAATTAAAATGCATCCAAGTGAAGTAATGGTGTGCGGTTTAGTACATTTCAATCACCAGGGGAGTAATAAGACAATGCCCCTGGAGTGAGGGGGGGGTTAAAATGCCCCTGGGGTGAGGGGAGGGGGGGTTATTCTTCGCTCATTGACAGACTGGGAGAATCCACCTCAAATTCAACACCCAAAGACACATGTTAGGGATTGAAAGACAAGTGGAACAAAAATGATCAGTGACTTCAATTGAAATGGACAAAGAGACGTAGAAACATGACAACCAGGGAAAAATGGAAGAATATTCCTTAACTCGCCAATCATATTCCCAAATTACTGCACATTCCCCAAATCTATCAATCCTGATATCTCACAATGCTCCTTATATACCATTTGTTCCAAGTTTCAACAACTGAACAGACAGAATGTCTCACTGTTGAGTGAGCAGTTTTCTTATGAGTGGTTATGGATCAAGAGTGAAAAAAATCGCATGACGTTTACAATCAGACGTGATAAGGGACTGCGTCAAATGTTTGTTTTGTAAGTCAGCAACTGTTGGCGAGAGCATAAGCTGTTTATAAAAGAAGACAGACAGCGTGTGACCAGGAACTGCACAGAAGGTTGTCGCCCAGGGAGAAAGACAATTATTTGTGGCCCCCATAGAGCAAAATGTGACTTAAAACCTCATAGAATACAGTTACTCTTCATACTCATAGAATGCAAAGTTACTCTTCACACCCACATTCAACAGAGCTTTTCTCTTCTTAACTTGATTCAGATGCACCTGAAAGCTTTTCAGACATTCCGCATGGATTAATAGACATTAACACCATATATAAAAACATGTCAGTGTGAGGCATGGCACATGCTTCTGACCCAATCTACAGTCAGATGGCGAGTCCTAGAATTGATGAGAGAGAGCGATCTCTCTGTTGGTAATAACAAAGCCCGCTAGATGCTGAAGAGGGCCACTCGGCCCTTCAAGCCACCTGTACATAAGAGCCGTGGAATATGTGATATGTAAGAAAGAGCACAGTCACCCTGTTGTCCGTACATATGTTCCCGAGAAAGGCCAGAATTGAGGGCACCCATTTGCATGTTGAGAGGGAGATGAAGTTCATGGCAATGCAAACATTGAGCAACACGCTTCAGGAAAAACAAAATGATTCCAGAGCCTCATAGTGATCTCCACGCAGACCAGAAAACATCAATGAATAAATCACGGCACATCGAGCGGTGGTGAAGAGCAGAGCACAGATGGGAGCAGCCACACACATCATAGTAATTTCAACCATCTGCTACCATAATGATTTGGCAACTGTTACCATGTGTGAGCTGACAATAAACTGAAAGCCACAAAGTGATGACTAGCTTTGTAGCTCTCTCAATGATGTAGTTTAGCAAAGCAAATCTGCAGCAGTCGGTCCAAAGATTCCAGGCTCCATGGAATCAGGCTTCATAGAAGTTCCTCTCTACCTGTTTGGTGACCGTGCCACTTGACATCATTGTCCTCGTCATGACCTCTTTTGTGACGTGTTGGGTGACAGTACTTCCACTCTCCATTCTTTGTGTGGTAATACTCATTTCATCTGGAATTCATTCAAGGCAATTAGATCTAATAAATAATAATAATAATCCTTGCATTTGATATAGCGCTTTTCACGTCAGGAGGACGTCCCAAAGCGCTTCACAGAACACACTGTAAAGTGAATTGACTGTATATTTGTGGGCGAACGCGGCAGCCAATTGCGCACAGCAGTGTCCCACAAACAGTCGTAGATTGAAAATGACCAATTTAATTATTGTTTTTGGTTTTTTGGAGGGATTATTATTAGGCTCTGACAGATAATAAATAATAATAATCCTTGCATTTGATATAATGCCTTATCCTTCAAAAAATAAGAATAATAAATTGGTCACTTGGATCCATGAATGTTTGTGAGACTCTGCTGTGCACAATTGGCTGCCCATAAGATATAAAGTCAATTCACTTTACAGTATATTCTGTTAAGCGTTTGAGGCATATAAAGACGTGATAAGGCGCTATATGAAATGCAAAGATTATTATTATCACGCTGTTGAAACATCTCAAAGCGCTTCACAGAATATACTGTAAAGTGAATTGACTGTACATTTTTATGGGTGCAATATGAAAACATTTACATTGACTAATAATGGTGACAGTGGCAAGGGGATGCCCTTACCCTGGCACAAACTCAAAATATTGGAGAGATGAATATAAACAGGAAATACTGCCCTCAGAAAACAGAGTTGAATTTGGGTTTGTGGTTTCTATGAACCAAACAGAGAAATTCCAACACTTGGTTGTGACAATGCAGCTCGTTTTGAAAATTTCATGTCAAGACTTCCAGTTGGAAAACAACTGTTGAGGTGACACATTCAGAATTGCCCAGAACTCCTTATAGGCCCCAAGGTGTATGTATCTCAGATTCCTGTTAGGGTTGGGGTGGTTGATGTGCAAAGGAGCCAGGTTACATAAGAGAAGCACATCCACAGTGCCAAATTTAAAAACAACCAGAAGATTTGGGAAATAAATGCTGGGTACACACTGCCCCATTCTGACATAGATACTGTGGAATTATTGGTGTGGGCTGAATTTCAATGAGAGACTTACCTGAGAAGAAGGGGTCGAATGTGGTGTGCATCATACTGGTCTGTACGTTCATACCTCCAGGATACCCATCATGTCTCATTACCATCTCCTTTGTGTACTCTGTCATGTTACCTAGTAATCAGAGATGAAGCCGTCATAAGACATAAAGAGTGGAATGTGGAAATGCCATTCGAAACATCAGCCTTATTCTTTCCCCAGACATGCACTGTCTGCCCCATTCAGATCTCTACTCAACACATTCAGTCATCTGCTGAGGAATATTCGCGAATGTTTCTTCTTCCTACCTCCTCCGCCCAACTCACTGCGCCCCACCAGAGTGTATATACAGTATTTAATCATATTCCCCACATTACTTATCCCCGTCTGACTGGCGTCTTTGACGTGATTTTCTGACAATTCTAAACTAACAGTTCAGAAAGCATCGTGTTTCATGCAGCATTTGATCCACTCTATCAATATCTGTCCTCATAATCTTTAATCCCATTCTATTCCCACCGAGTGCTTTCACCTAAGGGGTCCACGGTCCTTACAGATGAAAAGTACTGATGATAAACCAGGATTTGCTCAGTGACTGCACTCGTTTCTCGATGTGAAATTGATTTAATCTCAAGCCCGTCCTCTTCGACCGCACCTTCAGTTACCCATCTACCCACCTTGCCCTCTACCCCAATCCCCATGGCGGGTCAAAATCCCTGATTGTCCAGCGCCTTGGGATGTTCTCCTGATGTAAAAAAGGGCTCTACAAATGTAATTTGTTGTTGTGTTTCAGAGGTCACCAGGGCAGAATAATAAAGTTCTTCTATCTCCTCACAATGTACAATAAAATTATCTTTTGTAAATCACATGTCTGATGTCAACTAATATAGCATTTGGATGCTTCAATTTTATTAAAAATGTTTTATGAGGTTTAAGATATTCGGTTCCATATTGGAAATGTACTCATTGAAGGTTGCAATTGATTTCAGTGTTGGTCTCGGGGCCGATCCCCAACATGTCTCTCCTCCTGGATCTCTCTCTCTCTCTGTCTATCTCTGCTTCTCCTCCCACATCTTTCTCTTCCCCCATGTCTCTCTCTCTCTCTCTCCCCATGGCTGTCTACCTCTTCCCTAGATGCTTCACAGAACTATTTTAATTTTTGACCTCTGTGACTCATTCAAAGTATAAAATAGTCATTGATTGACAGCTGGACCCAATGCTTGTAAGATGACTACAAAGAGTTCATTGCTCCTCCTTTACTCTTTGTTACTGCAATGTCTCTGTGACCCATTCCATGTTGCAGTTTAATTGCACTCACCTCCATCCTGAGACTCAATGGTGATGATGCCCTCTCGCTCAGGGCCGTACCCTTGAGTTGTCTTTGCTTGTACTTTGAACTTGTAGGGAATGTTTTCACTCAGGTGAGGAACCGTCAGCGTCATCTCTGCATCATCTCCCTCCACATTGTAGGTGTTGGTCTCACCTAACGAAAGAATTGCATACTGATGTCAATGATGGACTACACAGACCTCAGTACTCTGGTTTCTAACAGCTGATAATAAAAATGATAATAATAATTTGGACACTCAATCCACGACTGTTTGCAATGCGACACTGCTGTGCGCAATTGGCTGCCGCATTTCGCCCACAAAATATGCAGTCAATTCACTTTGCAGTATATTCTGTGAAGCTCTTTGAGATGTCTCGAAGCTGTGATAAGGTGCTCTATCAAATGCAAGCATTATTATTATATTGTTTCTGTAGTGCAATAAGAACAGTGAGCACAGGAATTTGCCACTGGAAGCAGAGTAAAACGGACACAGAGAGCCAAGTAGGGCATAGAGCAGGAACACATAGACTGTCATTAAAGCACCACACTGGGGTGTAAGTGTGTTTATAACACCGGTGTCCTATGAACTCAGAGTTACCGGACAGGCTGGCTTCCTACACACATGTCTATCTTGCAGGAAGCTGGATGGTCATTGAGCCAGATACTGCTTGCTCAATAATAATACTTGCATTTGATATAGTGTCTTATCATGTCGTCGAGGCATCTCAAAGCGCTTCACAGAATATGCTGTAAAATGGACTGCATTTTGTGAGCAGCCAAGTGTTTGTAGTGCTAGAAATGCTCATGAGAGAGTAAGAAAGGTTGTGGCTGACTGATCGGCTTCCTGTGTTCTCAATGCATTTGCCAGCATCAAGTTTTGTTCCTTTCAAGCCCAACTTCGATTGCTTATCTGCCTTGACCACCTCTATCAGACCTTTGCAGGACATGATGTAGAGTGAAAGCAAATGATGATGCGAGATTGCTTTGGAACCTACCTTCTCCATCCATTGGTTCACATGTCACTAAGTAACCCAAGATGGCCCCATTTGGTTTACGCGGTTTCTCCCAGCTCAGCTTCAGTACCTCGGAGTTGAGAGCTGTAAACACCAGCGGCCCTGGAGCACTGGGTGTGCTCAGTGTGAAGGGAGAGCCTGCAAGCAAGGTCAACCAACGAGAACTTAGCAAAGATTCATAGAAACATAGAAACAGGAGTAGGTTATTCGGCCCTCGAACCTGTTCCGACATTTTATAAGAACATGGCTGATCTGTACTTCAAGTCCAGTTACCCGCCCTTGGTCCATGTCCCTTGATACCCTGATCTAACAAATATCCATCTATCTCCGTCTTGAAAAGCCTTTTGGGGGAGGTTTTCAACATAAATGGGGAGGGGAGTTTGAAATTGGCTCACTGAGAAATCAGGAGATTGGCTGCATAGCTCTGTCCAACGCTAGGCATAATTACCTGGCACTGGGCTGAGTGGGCTCATGGGATCGACCTTGGATTCGATGGTGATGACGCCTTCTCGCTCCGGGCCCCACCCGTTCTCACTCATTGCCTTCACCTTAAACATGTAGGAGTGGTTGGGCAGAAGATCATTGATGATCATGGCGTTTTCACTGGATTCTGCGACATCAATGGATTTTGATTCACCTGGAGCAAGAGAAGAAACTCAAGTCAATATAATGAGAAGACCAAACCACCAGCTGTATAAATGCCATCTCTTTCTCTCTGTCTAACTCTCTCTGGATCTCAAGGGCTCACAAAACGTTTAAGAAAGCCATTTGGTCCAATTGTCTTCGCTTCACCAGTCAGTGTGGTGTGAGAGCTCAGGGACACTACCCCACGTGGCGGGTGCTGTATAAATGCAAGTTGTTGTTGAATGTGGGGGAACCTTTGTTGCCCAATAAACTAGGTGGAGTCATATCCAGGTTTGGGAGAGGAGGGAAGGCATTTTCTGCTGTGATGTTTTGTGGAAAATCAGGCCCTCTCACCCACCAAATGTTGTTATAAAAAATAAGAAGCAGAGAATCGTCTCCTAGGTGTACGAGTCAGACTGTAAATGCTGTGATTGTTTTTTTAAGGTCAGCCGGGTTTCTGTGCCCAGAAACTATCACCATACTTAAGAGTTTCCATATAATAATAATAATAATCCTTGCATTTGATATAGCGCCTTATCACATCTTCGAAAGCGCTTCACAGAATATACTTATACAGTGAATTGACTGTATATTTTGTGGAAACTTTCCTGGGATTAGGTTGTGATTTTGAGAGAGCTAATATTCCATGCTGTTATTGCAGGCAGGATCAATGCAATGAGAATAGATACTGACCTCCTTGGAGTGACTGATAGGTGACACGGTAGCCGTGTACCTCCTTGTCACACTGAGGCTTCTGCCAGCTTACTTTCAGGGAGGTTGGTCCCAGAGCAGAAAACACCAGGCGTGTTGGGGTATCTGGGACTCCAGGGGACAATCGATTGTCTGAAATGAATGAATGAAATGGAGAATTATTGCACATAAGACTTTTTCGGCTGTGTTCATTGCAAAAGATTGACAGTAAAACACGCAGTGCACAAAGGTTTGTCATTGATGCTTTTGGATCTGGAACAATGGTCCTTTTTCTAACTCCAGTCAAAAGCAATGCAAAAGGCCTTTACCCTCTGCTGAGATCAGAAATCCTGGATTAAAGGTTGACCTGAAACTATTCAGCACAAATGAGCACAGTGCTAGAGTAACTAGCTGGAGCCTGGAAGCTCTCTGGATGTCACTGTACTTTCTGGCAAATGCCTTTAATAATAAGACAGAAATCTAATTTTCAATGAGTTACAATGCAACGGAGCAACTGAAAACAACACAACAGCAAAGATTTAACACTCTTGAGGCATTTGTTCGCTTACTGACTCTGTACTAATGGTAAGGTACAATTCCAGGCATTTTCTAACAATAGTTTAAACTTCCCCTACAGATTTATGGAAAAGTTGGTTACTACTGTGGGAAAGTAAAAGGACTAAATCACGTGAAGTACAGAGTGTCTAGACTATGATAAGATTAGAGTTGTTTTTAAGCAACAGTGTAGATAATTAGAGCAGAACCAGTGTCCTTGTACTGTCTGCAAATTGTATAATCAAGCTTGTGATGACTGAATGTTGCTTGTCAATCAACAGCAAGAATTGTTTTGAGACATGAAGATGATCACAAATAATCATGTATATAAACTAATGGGACTGCCCCATTGGTAGAGGGAGAGTACTGACTCTTCTGAGAGACGTGCTATTGTATTGCCTCTCGCTTTCCCTCTCCTTGCTGCAAGTATTTGAATAAACTATATTTCTGAGCTAACTCTGTTTGTGAGTGTTCGTTTAATCCTAGCTATAGCGACTACATCCTGGGTTTGACACTACCAGCAATGTTTATGCCTTTCCCAACGAGTCGTTCAACGCAATAGTTTTGCTCAAGATGTGTTGCTTATGTGTGATTGTCCGAGCAAACGAGGTTCTGCTAAATGTATTGGAAGAGGACTAACCCTGGAGAACCATCTCCAGGTTCTCAAGTGCCTCATTCACGTCCTCAGACTCAGTGCGAGTTCTCCCTCCAACCATTTTCTGTCTGACCGTGTAGTTAACTCCCTCGTTCCCATACATCGACATTCCTGCATAAACAAACATCTCTCAGGAATTCAGGAAAATGGAACTGGGGCAATCAGTTGCTTTTACTAGTGAATTGCTATATTTGACCTCAAATGACATGGGGCACTGGGAGGAGGGTGAAGGCAAAGCCTAGGATCTGGTTGATCAGATAACCTGTCAATATTAAGGAAAAACTAGTTCTACAAGCAGATTCAAAGACAGAGTCCAGAGATTAAGTGCAAAAGAACAAAGATCTGAATCCACAACGTTACAGAGTATAGGCACTGTACAGCGTCAAACTGGAATCTCAGTGACATGGGGACCTGTGTAGAGTGAGAAATGAAACCTTAAGCACTGTACTGTCTAAAAATCATCCCTGATATCTTCCTGGTCTGTATCATGGCTCATTGTCATATCATATCATAGAGAGCTCAGACTACAATCCTGAGAGTCATCGTGGAGCTCAACTGGAAGAAGTTTCAACTGATATCCACCTGTTTATCTAAGAATCACAATAAAAATTATAAAGTGGTTGTATCGGCCACACATTCACGAACTACATTTCAAGCCGCTACTGACCTGATCCTGATTTGGTGGTGGTGAGAGTATCTAACGTTAAGGAGGTTCCACCCATCACCCTGCTCTGACCCGTTGTCATGGAGCTGAATTGATTGTAGGATGTCGTGGTGTTCTTGGTGAGGGTATTGCTGGCACTGCCAGAATAGCTCATGTCCCATCTTCCATTCATCTGCATGTCTCCTGGAGAGGCAATAATGAATGTCATCTCCAAAGAGTACAGCAAACTCGTCCACACTGAATCATTCACCTTGTTCTGGGCACTTGCAACACTCATACCAAGGACGCCAGTGAATATGCAAGGATACACTCTGCATTACATTCATTCCAGTAATGGCCACCATTCATCCCATGTCTGGACAATTGCATATTCAACAAATCATAGACCCAAGCACCATTCAACCCAGTGCCAGGTGAGTAAAAAACATAGTATGGGTACCAGTGCTATTCTTTCCTGAGCTGGACACCAGGAATGTGCAACCCAGCATATAAGTATAACAAGCACACCAGCAACGTTAAGCACACTTATGAGCAGCAGCAGCAATTTTAGGAAAAACGGAGTTGTCCCCCCCCAACATATACAGTCATCCACAAAATATACAGTCGATCCACTTTACTATATATTCTGTGAAGCGTTTTGAGATGTCTCAATGACGTGATAAGGTGCTACATCAAATGCAAGGATTATTATCATTAACAATATAATCTATATTATAAACATGCATCTCATGAGTCTGCACATTCAGGACTGGGTTCACTATTTTCCTGCACAGCAGGGAGTAAGGGTACCTTTGGTCCAAATGGTAGACAATGTTAGACAATGTTTTCTTTGGAGAAGAAAGAGCGACACAGTTTGTCTGAAAATAAGAATATTTAGGAGTAGGAAGAGCCCATTAGCCTGAGCGAAGTGAAGCCTTTATGATGCTGGACAGGCTGGAAAGTAGATAGTGAAGACTGAAGGATTAGTATACGATTGGTCCATTGTTATCTCCTGGGACTTTGTACATTTAGTAGGCTGATATATCAGGTCAGTGTGCCACACACATTGTGTCACACACCTCCGGACAAAGAAAGAAGAAACAAATGAATCAGGGAGAGACAACCTTTCCATCCCAGAAACTCTGTAGCTCATGATTCATTCAAATGGACCACTTTAGCCCATTTTGCAAAAGAGGTGGAGTGAAAATAAGGCACAAACATTCCTGCTCTAGTTGATTCCTACCCCCCTCGGATGTTCTGTGATAGGTTATGCACTGCTTGCTGACTGATTTGACTGGAGGGTATGTGGCCAGGAAGGGTATGTTACTCAGCCCATTGAAGAGATTCAGACAGTTAGTGAGACAATCATTGCGAGATCTTCACCTTGATGTGGCTGGGTTGCGTTCCTCTTCGAGGTGTCTGAATATTCAGATGGGGCGGTGTCTTCAGAAAGGAAGCTCTCTATATCTGAGGAAGCACGTGTCAGCGAAGAGCTGGTGGAGAGACGGGGAATGACTTCCACTGGCAGCTTCCACGTTACCATCCGCCCATCGAAATCATCACCCAACAGTTGGATATGCTTCCATTTGGAGCCTTTCAGAACAATTTAATGACTCACGTTGGTATTTGTGCCAACAAAGAGGTTGACAAAAAGTGAAGGATCTTCACTCTTCCTGGTTCCATGCCACCTCTAAGCCTATCTTTAAATGGCATGTAGCAAATTACAACTCAAACTAGAGGACTTCCCCTAAGGGGAACAGTGCAAGCACACAAGTCAGCTAAATCCTATCATACAACTTTAGATAATAATAAATAATAATATTCCTTGCAATTGATATCACGTCTTCGAGGCATCACAAAGCGCTTCACATAATATATTGTAAAGTGAATTGACGGCATATTTCATTGGCGAAACGGACCATAGATGGTCAATGACAGGGGTAGAGCTGAGCGATATTGACTGGGATGGTTTTGACTTAAGGGGGATAAATCTGTTGAGGATTAATGGGCATCCTTCAAAAACATTATGAAGCACAAGTATACAAGAAGAGCAGAGGGAGACTAATGCAGATGCTGTGAAACTGTTCAATTGCAAAATTAAAATAGATTAAAGAAAACCAAAGGATTAAGAAACACATCACGTTTATGTTGTACAATGTTCTGGTCAGGCTGCACTTAAGAGTATTGGTTACAGTCTGGTCACAGCATCATAAGCCCAGGCTTCCAAGGCAACACAGAGGAACGCTGAACCAAGTGGTAGAGGTTGAGCTGTGACTGATGAACAACTCAACAAAATAGGGCTCTTCACCATTGGAAAGAGATGTCACAAAGCAGATCCTATAAATCTATATATCAGATATTATAGAATAGTAAACCCAAAACAAGACTTTCAAGGCTGTAAAATACCCACTCAGAGTAGTGAAAGATAATTTTATAGCCAATACTAGTATGTATTTCTTCACACAGAGAGGTAAGTGCTTTGGGAGATGCTACACGGCATGAGAGGCGCTATATAAGTGCAAGTTGTTGTTGTAAATGGTAGTTGGTGAGAATTAGCAGGAAAGATGTTTGACTCGACCTTCAGTGCAATGTACTGCAATGTAAACATGGTAGGGTTGGTATTCTAGAAGATAAGATGGGTTGAGTGGCTTCTTCGACTGATTCATGTGACTTTGTAACCAATGAATGGGGCTGCACTTGTGCGTCAAACGCACACACACGCGCACATCATCACAGACACACACACAACACCATGCCATTAATGAGAATTCAACAGTCATAGTAATCACTTTTCAGACGTACATGTATCCAATACTTGCTACAACTCTAGACAGTGGTCATTTTATTAACAACATAGGTTACTAAAGTATAATGGGAGTAACTGCAGCCTATTTTCCAGAGTGCTCTATTGATCTATAAACACAGATGATAATCATCAAACTTGTACTCAATCAAATGTCACAGCTGCCAAATCATATTTTTTTTAAATTTGTAAATGGAATGAAACCATGTGCTTAATTATTCAGTCAGGAAACAGCTCAATGGGCTCAAGTCTGCATTTTCTCAAATCAAGCCAATCAGAAAGTGCTTTAGTGACAGGATTGTAATGAAGACAGATGTTCAAACTGAAAGTTTCAATCTCTGACTCATTTATCAAAAGATTTCTCCTGGAACTGGGGTCATCTAAGACTTGCACATGGAACGTTTGTTACAAACAACCCAGTCTAACTATTGAGAGGCAGGAGCTTTAAGTAAGTTCTCTCAATGAGTTCTGCTAGTGTAATAATAATAATGCTTGCATTTGATATAATGCCTTATCATGTCATCGAGACATCTCAAAGTGCTTCACAGGATACCCTGTAAAGTGGATTGATTTTGTATTCTGTGGGCGAAACGCAGCAGCCACTTTTGCCTACAGCAATGTCCCACCAACAGCCATGGAGCGAGTGACCACTTTTACTTGACAGAATTGTTGACAAGGAACTCCCTTCTCTTTTCAAATAGTGCCATGGGATCTTTAACGGTCACCTGAACAGAGTGAAGCGACCTTGGTTTAATGTCTCCTCCGAAGGATGGCACCTCCGACAATCCAACTCCATCCCCCCCAAGCACTGCAGCGGAGTGTCAGCTTAGACTCTGTGAGTACAAGCTCTGATGTGAGGCTTCAACCCACAATCTTCTGACTCAGAGGTGAGAATGATACCACTGAGCCAGGCTAACACAGGTGTAGCAACTGCCCTGCGTGAAACTGGGCCAGCATGGTGTCAGATTGTCTGTTACGTGAGTTATGATTTCAGTTGGAGCAGTGGTAACACCTGGGTTAGCAAAACAAAAGCTACTAGAAATCTCCAGGTGGGACTATGCATTGTGAGTTATGCTTTGATGTCAGATGAAGGCAGAACCAAACTCAGACCACAATGCTCCCCACATAACCTGGCAACACTTAACAATGAAGAATGGCCAGTCTGTAGGTGGAGAAAGTACCACACCTTGAGGTAGAGTTCCCGAGAGAGGAGAGGAAAAGAAAACACTTTGAAGGTGATAAATGTTCTTCATGCTTGGTGAGCTTTTAACCTTCTCGTTTTCGGGGTGGAAATGGGCTTAAAGAGTCGTGCCTCAAAAATGGCGAGATTGTCCACTAATAATAATAATCCTTGCATTTGATATAGTGCCTTATCAAGTCTTTGGGATGTCTCAAAGCGCTTCACAGGATATACGGTAAAGGGAATTGACTGTATATTGTATATATTGTGGGCAAAAATATGCAGTGAAATATACTAGACATGAGATGGTGTATTCTGATGTGATATATGTTGCCAGGACCGGTGCTCGCTGACAAAGAGGGGAAACAAAGTGTTTCTCAACTATTTCATTTCAAGCAGCCGATCGATATCCATTTAGAATAAGAGCTGCTGAAACAAAGCACTGATGTGCTATAAGGTGCAGGTGCGTCAGGTGTGAGCCAGTCAGGAATATGTAATACCGTACCTGCTTCAGAGGAAATGCTCGGTCTTCCACTCCTAGGCGATCGCAAGACATCACTGCTGTACATCAGGTAATTCTCATACTCATCGTGGGCTTCAGCGTCGATGATGGGCACATCAGGGATGATGGGGACTGCAGGAGACAGATGGATGAACTGAGCAACGTGACAAGGAATTGAAATGATTTATTGCAATCCTTTTTCCGCTGGGAGCTTCCAAATAATGTTAGCTTTGAAAATTCACCAATCAGTGTAGACATGATGGTGTATTACGGATCTGCCTGGCTCAAGAGTGGACTTTGAAGGTATTGATTTGATCCTCTGGAGCAGTCTCACTAGTATAATCCCTGAGCCAAGCAGATCCACAATGCTCTGTGAGACTGCTGGTAACAGACTAGCTCAATAACAGGACTTGGATGAAACATCAGTCCTTGGAGCCTGGCATGCTTTCTACCAGGCTCCTGTTAAACTCACAAAGCAAAGACGTAATGGGCAAGCTGGTCATAGCTGGACAGGCAGCGAGAATCTTGCCAGTGCTCTGTTGTGCAGGGTTCAGCGAGCTCCTATCTACGTTCAAATAAATGAAAACAAGTGTGTGATTTCCATTCATGGCACGTTACTCACTGGACATTGGTCGCTTTGGTTGGGTTGATAGGTTCATGGTGGCTTCTCGTTCTGGTCCCCAGCCGGCTCCATTCTTCGCCCGAACTGTGTAGCAATACGGCTGGTCTTTGTTCAGATTCTCGATGAGTATCATACGCTTCTTTGGATTGTTTATCATCACCGTCTTTCTGTGGCCTTTGGGTACTGTCGGGCAGAGAGCACAACTATTAAAACAAATTGATTCTCGTAGCCTTGCCATTGATCCAGAAAAACAAAAGAAAGGAAAACAGAACCTTCTGTGTCATAACAGCAACAAAATTACATGTGTATATCACCTTTCACGTTGGGAGGACGTCCCAAGGCGCTGGACAGTCAGTGTTTCAGACCCGAGCTGGGGTTTGAGATAACGAGGGTGGAGGGCAGGGGGGTGATCGAAACTGCGGTTGAAGAGGAGGATCTTGAGATGGGTCTTGAAGGAGGCAAAGGAGTGGGCAAGACTGAGAGACTGCGGGATGTAGTTCCAGAGGGTGGGGCAGAGTGACTGAAGGCTCACTCGCCCCCCAAAAGTGGGGCAGGCGGGGACGTGAAGCAGGCCAGAGCCCGCTGAGCAGAGGGAGTGAGCAGGTTGGTAGGAGGTTAGGAAGTCACAGACGTAGGGGGAGCAAGGCCATGGAGGGCTTTGAAAGTGAGGACCAGGAACTTGAACTGTATCCTCTGTGGGATGGGAAGCCAGTGAAGTCAGGTGAGAATGGGGTTGATAGGGTCACGGAGCCTGGTACGGGCTGCAGAGTTCTGGATGGATGGAGGAGTTGGGGAGGCCGACAAGCAGGGAGTTTGCATAATCAAACCTGGATGTTATGAATGCGTGTATGAGAATTTTGGCAGCCTGCGGTGTGAGACAGTGGTAGAGCCAGGTAATGTTGCGGAGGTGGGGGAAGGCAGAGTGGATCATGGCACGGATGTGGGGTAGAAAGAATAGTTGAGGGTCAAGACGCCAAGGTTCCAGACTTGCTTAGGAAGGTAGAGTGTGCATCCTTGGATGGTGATGCTGTCAGCGCCTGAGGTGTGGAGGTCAGGATTTGCCAGACAGAATTCACATCCATTAGCGTGCCCATTCAGTTAAGTGCACTAACCATTCAGTATAAAGCACAGACCAAACCACACTGTCAATAACAGGGTGTGAGAGAGTGTGAAAGGAGGGACTGACTGAGTGAGTTTGTGTGGTGGTTTGAGTGAGGTTTGTGTGAGTGTGATGCATGTGTTTGCATGCTGGTAAAACATTTGCAGAAGTGTTTTCACTTAGCAAGATATACTTACTGTTCTCATCAGTCACCATTGTGTAGGTCACTTCATAATCAGTGATTTCCCCATTGGATTCTGAAGGCTCTGCCCAGCTCACTTGTGTGACGGTTGGCGAAATGACATTGAAGGCCAGTCGACCAGGTTCATTTGGAACTAAATAGAGGAGATTAAATACCAGAGGTTGATATTGGTCCACACTGTGCTGCCATTGCACTGATCACAATTATCCCCATATTTTTTGCTGTGTTAATGAATTAAACTCCTTTAAACTTAAGTTATATTGTGTACTTATGCCCATCAAATAAATGCAAATATTGTTCGAAATGACTTACGATCCTCTGGTGTACGACACTGAATGATTTCGGAGCAGGGACCATTACCCAGAGAGTTGTAAGAGCACACGTTCATCTCATAGTCACAGTAAGGGTAAAGGTTGGTGAGTTCAGCGTAAGTATTTTTTGTATCTATGACTTCTGTTCTGTTCTCATCACTTTCGATCCAATACTTGACCTGAACAAAAAAAAAGTGAAAATCAGGTTAATTTCTTCCATTGTCGCAGAGCTAATCATCCTTTTTAGGTTGTATTTGATGCAATGCAATTCCTTTGCCAAAAGAGCTGGTTAAAGCCCTTGTTGGAAAAGGATAGGAAGTTGTATGGACATAATTGGTGAAAGCCCTTTCAGAAGAATATGGGAAAAGAACAGGGGAATGTTCTGATATGGGAGCCAGCCCCATTAACTGTATGATCGGCAACAAGATGTCCTGAGACATTTAAGTGCACTGAGACGCCATCCGGCCTGAAGGCCGCTATATAAATGCAAGTTATTGTTGTTGTTTTTCATAAGCAACAAAATGTGATTCTTATTTGGAGAGAGAAGGCCAGTCCTGGTGAGAGGTCAATTATAAGAGATTGAGAATTAGTTTGCTGGTGCCTAATGCCATTTTCTGTTCCTAAAATCTTCATGTTCCATGATGATCAAATCCTTCACAGTACATTGCTAATTCTTGTGTAGGGCTAGGAGTACAGAATGTGGAAAAGAATGTGGAATTCATCATTGCTGAAAATGCTCAATATTCTTGCATATTTCTCAATACCACTTCGGGACCAAAGAACATTTATGTAGAACTGTCCTTCGGGAGATTGAATGGGTGGGATAAGAATCCGCAATTGGGTAGATTCTACATGACGTATGGAGGGAAGAGGCTTGATTGACCAAATAATAATAAATAATAATCCTTGTATTTGATATAGTGCTTTATCATGTCTTCGAGACGTCTCAAAGCTCTTCACAGAATATACTGTAAAATGAATTGACTGTATATTTTGTGAGCGAAACACGGCAGCCAATTGCACACAGCAGTGTCCCACAAACAGTCGTGGATTGAGCGACCAATTTATTATTTTTCTTTTGGATGGAATTATGATGGACCAAACAACCTTTTTCTTATTCTCACCAGGTTTCCTCGCGTTGTTTCGAGCTGTTGCATTGCAAGTTTTCAAACTGTGGGAATATTCCAGTTTTAAACTGTGGAAAATTGAATGCGACCCATGATTTGCATTAACAATTGCCTGAGAGATCGGGCAGCATCATATGAGCTGGGCTGAGGAGTGACCAGTCTGATCTTGATCATGCAGTGTGTTCTAACTAGTCACCAGCAGCACTGCTGACTGTCAATCCATGCGGCTTGCAGCCTTAATAATAATAACAACAATAATAATAAGCCTTACCTTATATCCTAATGCCTTTCCGGGAGGCGGAGTCCAATTTACACGGATTGCCTTGCTGTTGATTGCCTGAGCTTTTACATTGAGAGGTGGGACGTTGATGGGAACCACAGATTGGCCAAGCAATGTGTCTGCTCTTGCTGTAATATTAGACACAGGGATACATTGATAACAGATTCTTTACTGAACAACCTTCCCCCTCCCTGTCCTTTCTCATATATGCACATAAACATACACACTCATGTACACACCCGTGACGCACCCATACACACATGCACACCCTCGACAGGGAGCTCTGTTATTGGAGACTATTAAATACCACATTTTTCTGCGTTCAACCGCTGGAAAAAGGTGATTTATTGTAAAGCACGGCCTAAGTGTCAGTCAAAATACTACTTTATTTTCAATCAATACAATCACTATCCATATGTGTGCATATGCACTGCACCAGAATATGTGTGTGTGCATCAGTGTAATTGTATGTCCTGGCATGAGTGTATATTTCCATCTGGCCTTATATTTGTGTATCTGGTTATGTATCGGTGTACAAGAGAGTGTTTCTCAGCGTCTGGTTATGCTTCATACGATGTGTATGTTTTATAGAGTAGGAGATGATCCTCTTCGTGGGTGTGTGTGAGAGTGCGCATGTGTGTGTGTGCGCATGTCTGTATACATGCATGTGTGTGTAGATAAAGGAAAGGGAGGTGGGAGACTGTGTGTTGAATAGAGCAAGGATGTAGCTCGTAAAAAGGAAGAGTGGGTAGGAGGTTAAATTAGAGTTTCAGAGACATAGAAAAGGAAGGTTCAGATAATCGCTGAATAATAAAATAAGAGGAAAATATGAATAGGCTCAATGGAGATAGAGACTGGAGGTGTAGGAAGGATCCATCATCTATCAGACATTTATTTTCTTGTATCTGTTGCTTCAAAGTGTTGCTTCAATATTGTTTCAAAGTGACTTACGTTCCTCTGGTGTATGGCACCGGATGACTTCTGAGCGAGGCCCAGAACCCGAAGCGTTGTAAGCGAGAACGTCCATCTCATAGTCAGTGTCTGGATTGAGGTTGGTGAGCTCAGTGTAAGGAGTTTTCGTATCTACGACCTGAGGGGAACTCTCATTCCCTTCAACCCAATACTTGACCTGAAAAAAAGGAAAGAAAACGAGGTTAATATCTCTCTCTTTTGCCTGCGCATTTAATCTACCTGCTTACATTATAGTTGATTGAGTATCTATGAATTCCTTTGCAAAAAGACCATGATAAATATCATCTCTTAGGAATGGGACTGAAGGTTACATTGCTATGAGCAGCATTGAGATCAATAGCTGGCTAAGACTTAATCTTAGGCAAAGTATTATTGGCCTTGAGAGAGTACAGATAAGTGACCGTGATGAAACCAGGTATTAGGAATCTAAGTGATGAAGAAAGGAAATTTGGGTTTGTTCTCTTTAGAAAACAGGACACTGAATTTTTTTTAAAAAACGCAGAGTTGTTACGGTCTGGAATGCAATGCCTGAAAGAGTGGTGCAAGCAGTGTCCTAGCAATTTTCAAGATGATATAGTTGGACCCCGAAACAACACTTCAAATGACACGTCCATAAGATTCATTGTTTTCGATTTTAAGATTGTGTGATTTTTTTTTCTTAAAACGTTCTTAAATTTGGTCACTCAATGCATGAATGTTTGTGGGACGCTGCTGTGCTCCATTGGATGCCGAGTTTCACCCACAAAATACACAGTCAATCCACTTTACAACAACAAAATTACATTTGTATAACGCCATTCACATCGGGAGGAGGTCCCAAGGCATTGACTTTACAGCATATTCTGTGAAGTTCTTTGAGACATCTCGACAACAAGATAAGGTGCTATATCAAATGCAAGGATTATTATTATTATTATCCATCCTCATATCCCGTAAGCCGTACCTTGTATCCTGTTGGCTTGCCAGGAGGTGGGGTCCAATTTACACGGATTCTCTTGCTGTCGATTGGTTGAGCTTTTGCGTTGAGTGGCGGAGAGTTGATGGAAATCATAGCTTGCTGGTTTGGCATTTTTGCTGCCCTCTCTGCAATATTAGATGCATTAATAAAAGACTTGATTTTTACCCTTGTCTCTAACTCTTACTAAGTTGTGGAATTAATAACAGATGCACAGTTGAGAGTAAAAGTCACCGTTCTAAACTTACCATTGTCATCAGCGATCGTGATGGTGGTGCGAGGATATTCCCCGAGCTTCGCTCCATTTCTGGGGTTGTACAGTTCCATGATGAATTGTTTGATCTGTTGGTTTCCGAGGAGGGAGTCGACCTCTGTCAGTTCAAGGAGTTTGACAGGAACCTCTTTGCGAGTCTCTTTAGGGAGGAATGTGAGCTCGTTCTCTGTATAAATGTAATCCTGCAAAGAAAATGTCACATAGTAGCACAGGCTAAACTGGGACATAATCACTACCAACTCAAATGCACTCGCGCACACACAAACACACACACAACCACTCCCAACCCTCAAACAACAACAAATTACATTTGTCTAGTGCCTTTCACATCGGGAGAATGTCCCAAGGAGCTCCCAACCCACACACAATCCCTACACACAAATCTGAACAGCAACATTTTCCAGCACACTATTATTCTCCCATAAATTACAACCCCTTCTGCCATGCCCTCCCCCACCCACCCACCCACACACACTCACTGCAGTGTGACACACTCAGTGTGAACGCTTTGGCATTCACCAACCTTTTCGCATAGTACCTTTCACCTTAAAGAACAGCTCAAAGCATTTTGACAAACGTAGGGCTTGAAAACACCAACACCGAGCAGGAAAATTATAGATTTAAAGATATTGACTGAAGGCATGGTCATAGAGATAGGTTTTTTACAAGGTTCTTGAAGTCAAAGGAGAATAGAATGAAGGTTAAGTGATTTTAATAGAGGATTCTAGAGGACAGGGTTGTAGTGTTTGCTGTGTCCGCTGCGAGAGGCAGAGAGACGTACTGTGCCATCTTTAGCGGTGAGGTCTCGTGTTCTGTAGGAGACCTGAGTCCGCACGTCTTCCATTATCTGCCGGAGGAGTGGGATGTTGGCCACCTTGTCCAGTCGACGGTACGTATAATTTGGCTTCAAGAACGAGACAATGCTTTTGGCTGTGGGGGAGAGAAAATCAGATTTTAGAATTTCTATAGTATTACACCTCTTTAAAACTAGAATAGTGAGATTCACTCTACAGCCTTAAAATTGGATCTATAGATCTAGTATTCAAAGGAAGGACATATACCTTTGACTATCCTCCTTTGGGGAAGTAAGTAAGATCTCTTTTTGTAGGGATCTCTAGGCATAGGGCGACTGGAATTTCAGACCCCAGGAAATGATAGAAAATTGGGAGAGGATTGTGGAGAGGGGAGATTCTGAGGACAACAATCAATGTACAAACATCAGGGAACAAGAGGCTGGAGAGCTGGAGACTGGCCTATACTATGAATGGGTCCTGGGTAGGCGGGACTCGCGCAGGTTTATGTGAAGCAGGGCGGAAGCTGAAATTGAGAGTAGAGGTCACAGACATGCGCACACAGACAGAGAAGGGGAGATTACCGTCTTCCTTGATGATCGTGATGTCAACAAAGCGCTTGCCGATCTCAGCAGTTCCCTCTGGAACATCCACCGCCTCCACCCGCAACTGCTTCTCATCATCGTCCTCTTCCTTGGTGAAGAGTGGAACACGGACATCCACAGTTTCAACATCTTCCTGGAACTCCACGAGCCCATAAGCTTCTGCCGAAGGAGGGCAAGAGGAGAGGCCGAGTCAGGCACTTGGAGAGAAGCTCCGAGCATACCTGCCGATCAACCACTGCACCTTGTCACGGGTTTTAATACTCAAAACGAGAAGGGAGTTTCTCCCGGCGTCCTGTCCTGGCTAACAATCACCTCAGTGTAACTGGACTTTTACTTCAAGGTTGTTTGTGGGGCACTACTTCGTAGACTAAAATTTTGCCCACAAAACAGTCAATTTACCTTACAATATATTATAATAATAATAATCCTTGCATTTAATACAGCGCTTTTCACATCTTTTCGACGTCTCAAAGCGCTTCACTGAATAGACTGTAAAGTGAATTGATCTGTGAAATGCTTCAAGACGTCTCAACGACTTGACTTGATGAGGTGCTATATCAGATGCAACGATTATTATTATTATTGTGAAAACTGGGATGTTGCATTTGCCTACAAAATTCATTCCATTTATAATGAAATCCTTGCAAAGCGCTTCGAGATGTCACGGCAATGACATAAGGCGTTATATCAAATGCAAGTATTATTATCAGGAGCCGGTGCCGTATGAAGGCAACGCCATTTCCTCAGTTACATTCCGCTGCCACTGACAAACGCAAAGACACAGTGGGAAGCGGCGGGAATTCATGTCCTCACACCCACATCCCAGAGATTCCAGGATGTTCCGAGAACCCAGCGAGACAACAACATAATTGTTGAGACCACTCATTTCGGTGCTTTCGAAAAACCTGGGACCTCACCTCGATCAGAGGCCACTGTATAATATCCAGGCATGACTTTCATGTCACCGAACTTTGATAGGTTGACGTGCTTCTCGGTCATTCTCAAAATGTCCGGCTCGGCAGAGCGCGGGCCGCTAACTGTGTGTCAACAATGGTTAAGTTCTGCCTGTGACGGAGAAACAAGGAGCCAGTGAGAGTGGGGAACACAAGTGTCAAGAGAAGGCTAGAGAAGCTGGGCTGGTTCTCCTTAGAGCAGAGAGGGTTAAGGGGAGATTTTATAGAGGTGCTCAAAATTCTGAGGGGTTTTGATAGAGTAGTTAGGGAGAAACTGTTTCCACTGGTGGGTGGGTCAGTAACAGGAGGAACCAGATTTAAGATAATTGGCAATAGAACCAGAGGGGAGATGAGAATTTTTTTTTGATGCAGAAAGTTGTTATGGTCTGGAATGCACTGCCTGAAAGGGTGGTGGACACAGATTCAATAACAACTTTCAAAAGAGAATTGGATAGATACTTGAAAAGGAAAAAAAATGCAAGGATATGGGGAAACCGGGGAGTGGTACTGATTGGGTAACTCTTCCAAAGAGTCTGCACAGGTACGATGGGCCGAATGGCTTCCTTCTGTACTGTAATATTCCACGATTCTAAAAAGTGCTGAGTTTGGGAGGGGTGGAGGCAAAGCTGTTGCAAGTGGGGGGTGGGGTGGGGAGCGGAGAGATTGGTTCAGAGGGACAATATGGCTGGACAATAAAATGCTCTGGGATGTTACCGTACGTGTGGGGCTCTATATAAACGCAAGCTTTTGTTAGTTTGGGAAGCAGCGAGACTGGTTCGGGGGTAGTGAGGGAGTGGCAAGGCTAGTGAGTAAGTAGTAAACACCCACCTCTTTCCTGAATTTGGTTGAAGTCTGAAAGAAAAAAAGATTAAAAATGTAATTGTTTAAGATCGGATCAAATCTCAACAAGGGTTGCAACAAAGCAAGAGAAACTCCAGCATGTCAGTGAGGGTTCACTGCAGCTCGAGGAGTCACAAGAGAGGTAGCAAAAACGAGAGAAGGAGAGTTAGTGAGGGAGAGAAAGAGGAAGCGAGAGAGAGGGAGAGAAAAAATTGAGAGATGGGAAGAAAGGAGAAACGGATGAAGGTGAAAGAAAAAGGGGAGAGAAAACAGAGGGAGAACATATTTATGTCGTGAGCGGGTTTACCTGAACCTGGTTTTCTGCACGGGCTGTATGCCTGGGATTTTCTGATACACATCATTAAGCTGCAGAGAAACAGCACAAAGCAGGTGAGCATTTCACCCAGAAACGTTACACGCTCTGCAGATCTCCCATGTACCTACACACGTCATGCTGTGGGATTGATTGGGTAGCTCTTCCAAAGAGCTGGCACAGGCAAAATGGGCCAAATGGCTTCTTCTGTGCTGTAATGCTGGATTCGATAGGGAGAGACACTAATTCAACTGGCAGGGAACCCGAGGACACTGATTTAAAATAGTTGTTAAAAGAAACAGAGGGGAGGTGAGGAGACATTTTTTTTTTACACAGCGAGTTGTTTAGTTCTGGAATGCATTGCCTGAAACGGTGGCGGAAGCTGATTCGATAACAACTTTTAAGAGAGAAGTAGATAATTATTTGGGGAGGACAAGTTTGCAGGGAGAGTGCGGGGGGCGGGGCGGGGTTGGGATTGATTTGAATAGCTCTTTTCAAAGAGCTGGCACAGACACGATGGGCCTAATGGCCTCCTTCTGTGCTGTATGATTCTATGATTCTATGCTGTAATGTCCACATACAGCGCTGTAACTCCCACATATCTGCTGTGCGCACTTGGCTGCCGTGTTTCACCCACAAAATATATAGTCAATTCGCTTTACAGTATATTCTGTGAAGCACTTTGAGACGTCTTGAAGAAGTGATAAGGTGCTGTATCAAATGCAAAGAATATTGTCATTATACCTAGCCCATGGTGGAACTTACATGTATACATACTGAGCTGGAAATAACCCCCACTGTGAATAATAATAATCCTTCCAGACGTCTCAAAGCGCCTCACAGAATATACAGTAAAGTGAATTTACTATATGTTTAGTGGGCGAAACTCGGCAGCCAATTGTGCACAACTGTGTCCCACAAACAGTCATGGATTGAGTGACCTAATTTTGATTGATTGAGTGAGTGAGTGATTGATTGATTATTACCCCTGGAAAAGCAATCCACCAATGGGCTAACAACCGGCTTCCTATTTACTGCTAGGTAAACAGAGCCGTGCAGAGTAAGGACACATGCCCAATGTTTCGCTGGGAATTGAACATAAGTCCTCTCGCTTGCGAGGCGAGTGCACTAACCACTGAGCTACAGGACTAAATCATCCGTTTACACAGGGACTTACATTCTCCTCCACACTTTTCCGCAGCAGGTCGTGGTCCATCGAGTCCGGTTTCTTCAGACTCTCACTGAAGTGTCGGGCCATTCGTAGTGATAGGTTGTACAGGACTGGAATGAGAAATATCACAGGAGGCATTGACTCACACAAATCACCATCAAATTAGCTGGATGCTATAGTCAGTGAGCAGTCAGTGAAAGAGTTTCAATGAGTGATAACAAAATAATCTGAGGTATAACGACACGAATATCACTCTAAAGTTGTCCACAAATTCTGTAGATTTGTTTCCACTCATTACAGCGGCTTCTCCTCGGCTAGCTTTGTAAGGATCCTCTCGGAGTGCTATTAACATTAATGTGCTCTCCACATAAAACAACTTTGCAAAATCAGCAGTGAGAACCTCTCCATCCATAATGACTTCCTGTGCACCTGCCCAACTGGACGTCATTCAGCTGTGTTTCAAGCCGCTCCATACCCTCGTTCCCTATCTATCTGAACTGCTTACCCCCCACTCCATCACCCGCTGTCTCCGCTTGGCTGGCTCCGATCTCCTATTCGTCCCTCGTCCCCTCTGCTCCACCATTGGTGGACTTGCCTTCAGCCACTACGCCTCAAAACTCTGGAACACTCTCCCTCAAGCCCTCCGCCTTGCCCCCTTCATCCCCTAAAGACCTTCCTCTTTGATCATGCCACTCCCTCTCCCCCTGGCTCAGTGTCAGACTCAGTGCCACTGTGCAGCGCTCTGGGACATTATATCAACGTACGTTGTTGATGTTGATTCATTGGCAGACAGTGGAGCTATTTGTGAAACCCCCTGAAGGTTTTCCTGTAAACCACTGAATATTCATCCATCCCTACATTCCACTGACCCCTTTTCTGCACATCATTGTCTTCCCTGCCCACTCTTCCTTCTCCATAAATCCTCACCATGTTAAAATCATTGCACTGTTGCTTACTCCAGCTTATTCTTCCCAGATGCTCAGGACTGTTAAACTACCTTCCCAAGTCTCCACTTCTTACTACAACTATCTTGACTTTAAATCTCAAGCTCAGCGTCATAGACCTACAACTTTTTTTTAATCTTGTTCCAGCTCTGCTCAATCTTGCTGATAAGGCGCTGTATCAAATGCAAAGGTTAACCTTCATTATGGTTTTCATTGCTTCCTCAAGATTACTCAATAAAATATAAAAGTAATCTATTGCAGTAGGGCATGGAAATCTTGCATCATCAGTAACTGAGAGAATAGCAACTTGCTATTTGCACATTAAATAGCTTTAGTGTCATACATCATTGAAACTGCACTGTACGGAAATGATGATTCAATCATAATTCTATCTGACACTGGTCTGATAGAATAGATGGTCTGACCCAACTGTGCAGCGCCTTGGGACGTCCTCCTGACGTGAAAGGCGCTTTATAAATGGAATCTTGTTGTTGTTGTCTCTGTAACTTACCAGTATCTTTAGGGTTGGGAGGTGGTGCGGAGAGAGGCATTGGTCGATGTACATTGTCTGTCACCTTCCACTTCACAACATCTCTTCCGTTCAGTTTGTTAGTCCGAACCATTGGTGTATCCACCGAATCAGACGTGAGCATGCTCTGACGCAACATGTAGTGGTCTTCCTTGAATCCAACCATTGTACCTGCAAAAAGGGAGAGCAGAACAGACACCTCTTAACGCCTATTAATAACCTGCCTCCAGACATAATTGGGAAACAAATAAAATACAATCACAAAGCCCGGGTTTGTTGAGTTTGCTGATTTCACTCAGATTGACAACATTAGGGTTTTAAGAGGGCTGGAAAATATCATGGTTCCTAATCACTATCTGATGAGATAACCTAACTACCGTAAAGTCTGCGTGTGTAGATATTGGGTGACATAGGATCAGGTTCAATTGTGATATTTTCTCCTTTGGTCAAATCAACTCACTCACTGCCCCGGGCTTACACATGAGAAATAATCACTTGAACAAGGTACTGGAGAGATCAGCCAATGCCAAAGGAACCTAATGAGAGCCCAATCTACAACTCACAGGAGAGGAGGGAAGAAATTTGGAGTTACATATAAATACATAGATGTTGTTACCTAGAAACAGAAGTAGGCTATTCAGCCCCTCGAGCTTGTTCTGCCATCTTATAAGATCACGGCTGATCTATACCACAAGTCCAGTTACCCGCCCTTTGCGCCATATCCTTTAATACCCTGACTTAACAAATATTTATCTACCTCCATCTTGAAAATGTTATTTTTGGGTGCATCCCCCCCCACCTAAAAATAAAATCAAGGATCTTCCCATTAGCAGAAAGTCTTCTTCAACAAGTGATTACTTTCAGGGCAATCAATCAATCGTAATATTTTACACAGATCCTAATATATTACCTTGCTTACAGCATGGCAGCATTGCACAGCATGGCAACCTTGCACAGAATGCCTGTCAAGAGAAATAATCATCAGTTGCCTTTATCAAAATTAGTCTGAAATAGACTAAAGTTTTTGAACATTAAACCTCAACATTTTTATGTTTTAATCTGTCTGAATGTATCCATAGAGACTGAGTTGCTAATTTGATGAGAGTCTACAGGGAGTACAATCCCAAATCTAAAGAAAGTTCCCAATATTTAATAATCCAAATGAAACACAATCCAAAATAATCTCCAATCGCCTAATAATTCACATACACAGCTTCCAACTAGAGATGACAAGAATATGATTGATTGATGGTAGGGTGGGTGTTCTGGGACGCTACCCTATGTGATGGGTGCTATATAAATACAAGTTGTTGTTCTGAAGTGATGAGATCAGATGGACCAAAGGGCCTTTTCCATCCAGACCAATCTTGTGATTATGTGATCATGCACTGGTCTAGTGTCACAATCATCTTACCCTGAGGGATTTCACTAATTGTTATTTGCACAATTTCCCTATGACTGAAAGTGTACTTACCTGACAACAAGCACAATACTTCCAACAGAGGAGGCCCAGGAGAAACGGCAAGAGTATTAGACCTATGATAAGTGGGATGAGCCAGAGGAAGCCACCTGGGGGACATTCTGAGAGAGGTGAAGAAGACAATTAGCACAGGCACTGCGTACAGCACCAAACCTGTTCCTGCAGACAGTCCTGTTGATGCATTATAACATCTAATTGCAATCTGCATCATCATCTCTTGTTCATTTTATATATCAAACTGTCAATGGCTTGTCAAACTTTCTCCTTCTCAATCTTTCTTGACAAAGTAAAAAGAACTAATTCCAAACTCATCGTTAAAGATAAAGGTAAAAGATAAATGAAATGCCAGAAATCTCACTTTCCTGAGCTCTGATTTCCCACTCACCTTTCTTGTCTAGCACCTGGATCTCAATCGTCTCGTTTCTGCCCGGATTACTTTTCACGGTGTAATGATACATGCAGTCATCCTCTTCATCTCGAAAACTGCAGTGATCATCTACCAGTTCATCTGCAGGAAGAAAAACCTTTCAGAAAGTGCGAATACAGTTCATTCCGATTTCCTCTGAAGAATCAAAAGTTCCACCATCCATAAAATTCAGGCCATGCAAACCTCCATCACCCGAATCTTCATCCACACCAAACTCTGTATATCTATCACCCCAGTCCTCACCAGGCTCCACCACCTTTCTGTCTCTTAAATGGACTGTTCTCAAGATACCCTCACCTACAAATACCTTCATGCCCTAACATCTATCTATCTCTCTGATCTCCTCCTACCCCACTTCTCTACTCACCCTTACAATTGTCTACCTTGGATTTGCTGTGCATCCAGGGAATTATTTAAATCTTTAAATCAATCTTTCCCCCCATGAAAATGCTCTGCTGCCTGTGGCCTGATAATTCTCATAGTGTAGCCTTGACCAATGCCTAAATATTTAAGGGTTTTGAAAGACTTTTAAATTCAAAAAAACACTTTCCAAATTAATAATGATCATTGGATTTGATATAGCATCTTATCACATTGTTGAAATGTCTCAATGTGCTTCGCAGGATTTTAATTTGTATTTATATGACTGCATGTATTTGTATACAAACAATTTGCACACAGAAATGTCCCATAAACAGTCACAAAGTGAAAGACCAATTTTATCTGGTTGATTGTTGTCCAGGATACCGGGAAAAATTCCCTTCTCTTTCCAGGTAATGAGATTTTGAATGTCCAACTGAACAAGCAATACATTAAGACTAAATTCCAAATTTTCTAAAATTCTGCACAATCATAAATTTGGAGACAACGGAAATTACTGATAGCATCACTAAGACTATAACTTTGGAACTTTGGGACCTTCTTGGATTGCACAGGTCAACTGTACACTGAGCCACAGTGCGAGCACTTACAAAATAGCTGACACTGCCTCCGTCTGAACTGACCTTTTTTCAATTCTTCCACCATTACAACCTCATTGGGACACTGGTCACATTCTTTTCCTTTCTTCTCCCCAGTCTTCCAGGCTTTGCACTGAACGCAGGTACGGATATCCTCACAGAGCCCCAGCAAACGCTAAAAAAAAGACAATAACATTAATCAATCAATCATACTCGATTTTGATATAGTGCCTCATCAGTCACACAGTCGAGAGTCTCAAAGCACTTCACAGGATTTCACTATGAAAGGTAGTAACTGTATTTGTACACAAATACAGCAGCCAATTTACACACAGCAATATCCTACAAACAACTGTGAAGTGAACGATCAATATTTTTTTATTTGGGGGGGTTTTGGCCAGGAGAAACTCCCTTCTGTTCAAATAGTTGGTGGGATCTAAGGTCCAGCTGAACAGCAGACGAGTCTTGACTTTAATCCCCACCCCCCAGATCACTGCAATAGGATGGAGGAGCAGATTATGAGTTCAAACCCTTGATGTCTTAATCCCACAATGTTTTACCTCAGAGGCAAAAGCACTGTCAAACAAGCCAGACTGACACATCTCCATTGGAAATGAGTAATAATAATAATAACTGTGGAGTCCCGTATCTCAGGGGTCAGAGCACCAGCCTTGCAAGCGAGAGACCTGGGTTTGATTCCCAGCGAAACCTTGGGCAATTTTCCTTACTCTACACTCCTAATAATAATTCTTCATGAAAAAAAAGCAATAACAATTTGGTCACTCAATCCATGACTGTTTGTGGTTCACTGCTGTGCGCAACTGGCTTCCCACAAATATACAGTCAATTCACAGTTAATAATAATCCATACACTTGATACAGCGCCTTATCACGTCTTTGAGACGTCTCAAAGTGCTTCACAGAATATACTGTAAAGTGAATTGACTGTATTTTGTGGGCGAAATGTAGCAGCCAATTGCACACAACCATGTCCCATGTCGTGGATTGAGTGACCAATTTATTACTTTTTTTGTTGAAGGAATTATAACCCCCAAAAAAGCGATCTGCCAATCGACTAACAACCAGGTTCCTACTTACTGCTCGGTAAACAGAAACGTGTGGAGTAAGGAAACGTGCTCTATGTTTCGCCCTGTTGAGAATCAAACCCAAGTCTCTCGCTTGCGAGGCGAGTGCTCTAACCACTGAGTTACAGAACTCCCAAGTAAACATTCATTCTGAGCATCTTCCTGTTTCTAGGAGCTAAATAGCAATCTGTGCGATTAATTCCACACTTTCCTGCATGTGTCATTGCTTACATAGAGGGTGATTAATGATCTGAGAAGAATCATCAGATCACAAGAGGAACAGAACATGGAAACAGGAAAAATGTCCTTAGACATTGTTTAGCTGCCTTTGCACTTACCAGAGTGTGAATAGACTCGCAGGTTTGACCTACATCCTTTTCATTACATTTACATCTTCCACATACACAAGCTCCTTTTCCATTACAGATTCCCTGGAACCAGGAAGAGCAGAGATTAGATATCACACACAGGCAGGCTAGTAACACAAAAGACAATCAAAACAGATTCAGATAATTGGGCAGAGAAAGGGATACAATTCAAAACTATAGCATTAACCCTGCACACTCATTTACACAACAGCTAAGTTTTCTGATTTAAAATCTAACCAGTTCACTTTCAAATAGTTCAGGTGCCCCAGGACTTGCTGTGCTATGCAGAATTGTTGTATGGGAATTCTACATCCCTATTCCGACCATGCAAAAATTCATTGTTAGAATTAAATTCAGCTCACACCTTCTCACGAGAATGTACCAGACTGAAAAAAATCCATTATTGATTTTCTGATCTTCTCCATTATCTAAAATCTCTTTTTCTGATTACTATTGCTTTTATGTCCACACAACTCCCACTGCCATCACATACCCATCTAATAATTCCCTCTTGGAACCCTATTCACCTCTACTGCCTCTCTGCGTCTCACTCTTTCTGTGGCTCTCTCTAACTGTTTCTCTCTTTTTTCACTGACTCTTTCTCTATATGTCTTTGATATGCTCTTTCTCTCTCTCTCTCTGACTTTTTTTCTCTCAATACTTCTAACTCTGACACTCTATGCCTCATCTCTGCACTGCACTGGAGCAAATTGTTGTATGGGAATGTGTTCCTGGAAACCTTTCATGTAACATTTTTTTTGCCAACATTAAAGTTCTGCATTGCAGACTGATGCAGATAAACATCAGTACAGAAACAGACCATTTCGCCAACTGGGTCTATCTGCTCTGGCTCTCGGAGCAATGGTTCATTCAATCTCACTGCCCGGCCTTACCCCCATACCCCTTCAAGCCTTCATCAATAGGAACAATCTCATGAAATTGAGAATTAAATAGTAGATAGAATGAATGCGAATGCCTATCTTTGCGCTGATTGTTAATATTGATGTCAATATTTCAGTCTTACCCCTTTGGAATCAATGCAGGTAGCAGTACTGATGGGACATTCACATGAATGGCCTTCCCAGCCACTTATACACTTGCATTTCCCTTCAGAACACCGACCGCGGTCTGTGGCAAAACAGAGACAGAAATGAGGTCCACATATGAGAGGAAGAAGGAAAGAAAGAGAGAAAGAGAATGTTTTTATCATCTTGAAACATCTGAACACACTTCAAAGATAATTACTGTCAATTGCATTGGCTTTATTCGTATTTTAGGATTTGCGCTTGGAAGGTTTCCACCAATAACCAGAGGTGAATGACAGTGAATCGCTTTTCAAATCGTATCATGGGATCTTTAAAGTCCACTTGAACAGGCTGAGGGGACCTTGCCTTAACACTTCATCTGAAAGACAGCCTTTCAAACAATGCAGCATTGCCTCAATATAGACCATGAACTCAAGTCCCAAATGTGGAGCTGAAACCCACAACCTTTTGAAGCTAATCTTGTTAGAAAGACCAAATATCTGAGCCTCAACTGAGGGTCAACTAAGCCATAGTCTTATCAAATCACTAGAACTCATGTGGCAATATCATTGGTAACATAATTCACCCACAAAATATACAGTCATTTCACTTTACAGTACATTCTGTGAAGTGCATTGAGACGTCTCAAAGACGTGATAAGGCTCTATATCAAATGTAAGGTTTATTATTATAATTCAGGGAATGGGTAGACAGAATGATGTTGTCAGAGAGGATAACACACTTGTTGAGGCTGAATCAGGAGAAATTCTGTAGAATCCTGTACTTAATTCTTGGTGTAAAATCAAAGCATGAGCACCATTTAGGTAACAGTGCCTATATGCTTCACAGCAGAGGCAAGCATCAAGGACATGATTATAGAAACTCACAGATATGCAGCAACTCAGCGCAAAATTCATCAGGCATTGATGTAATATGAGCAGCATATACCTAAACACCAATTAGATCTAAGCACTGGGGCTATCTGCAAATAATTCTCTTTGGCTTATTCCCTTTCATGCTGAATCTGTATATTATACTATATGTATTCTATGCTCTACTCTATAAAAATACTGCAGAAATATTTAATATTTTCGCCCATAAAACATAGTCAATTCACTTTACAGTATATTCTGTGAAGCGCTTTGAGATGTCTAGAAGACGTGATAAGGTCCAACATCAAATGCAAGGATTATTATTATCATTGGTATAACAACATGCTGTAACTGAAGAAGAATTGCAAGTAAAGGACAAATTTAAAAATATAAAAAATGTCTGTTGCTTCACTTACCATTACACATAAAGCCACCATGCCGTGGGCAGTTCAAGTTGCTGTGCTGACAGTATTTTCCGTCAAATATTTCCAGACTGTTCTCTGATTGATCACAGAAGCAAACCCCACAGTAGCATTTACCATTACCAGAGCAGGATTCGGTTGAGTTGCTGTCAGCATTAATACAGTCTTTACTGATATCCGTTGGCACTCCCGAACAGTTGCAGAATTCACCGTGCCTTTAAAGGAAACCAACAGTAGCAGCATCAATAAGACATAGCCATATCTCACAAAACACTTTATTTTATTCAGTTATAGTATGTTGATTGCAACACAGTACGATGGATGACAAATCTATGTTGACGCCAGAAATCTGTAAAGTCCTGAGGTACTAATAAATTAATAAATAACTCAATCCACGACTGTCTGTCTGTGGGACACTGCCTTGCACAATTGGCTGCCACTTTTCGCCCACAAAATATAGTCAATCCACTTTGCAGTATATTCTGTGAAGCGCTTTGAGAGGTCTCGAAAACATGATAAGGTGCTACATCAAAATGCAAGAATAATTATTATTACTTTGCTGGGAGCAGAGGCAAGGAAGCTTGAATCTGCAAGATGTTGCATGTTGCCAACGGGTGCTCAAAATCTTTTTTCATCCCTAACATCCCTCATCTCGATGAGCATAAAACTGACCAAAAATACGTTCATTATAATGAAAGCATAAGTATAGTGTTTTTGTGTTCCCTTACCAATTATCGTGGCACAAACAGTGTCCACAGCCATAGTCACCATTAAAATTACATTTGGCCGAGTTCTTCTCCGATTCCTGTGGATAAATGTAAAAGAGAGTTAGAACAAAGAGCAAGTCATAAAACATGAAAGTTGTGGTTAGATAACCTCAGTGAAAATTGGATTTTACCAGTTCACATTGACACTGATCACAGATCACGGAAGTCTTTATTTGCAGAGCACTTGTGAAGGTGCTGGGCTTGATGATTATTGTTCCTGCTTTGTCCTCCCATGGCCTCTTACACACATGTTCTCCATTAATGTTCTCCAGAGCTTTCAGCTTGACTTTAAAATTGCCCTGTTTTTTTTAAAAAAGTACAAAAATAACAATTTTTGACAGTGAAGTCAACATGTTGAAGTTCATTTCTGAAAATTCTTAAATTCAATCTTAATTTGGAAGATGATTTTCTGCATAAGTATACACTTATTTGAAAAATGCAGAAAGCTGGCTCCCAAATTAAAACTGAATTTGAAAATTTTTAGAAACTTCGCACCAACTTAAATTTAAGTTTAACATCTTAACTCTTAAGCTTAAGACCATGAGCAATTTCAGAGCTGTGTTTAAGATTGATATGCATTAAACTAACATTTCTAAAGTATTATTGGCTCTAGATAAATCGGTTCATTTAACACTTCAGAGCATTCAGAATTGTCAAATTCTTAAATACAGCCTTAACTTTGAGATTGGTTTCATGTTGTTCTTAAAATCAGTTAAGGTTGAATTTAAGAATTTGTCACATTCTGGACACTGAAATGTAATTTAAAATAATAATAACAATTTGATCACTCAATTCACGACTGTCTGTGGGACACTACTGTGCGCAATTGGCTGATGTGTTTCACCCCCAAAACACAGAGTCAAATCACTTTACAGTATATTCTGTGAAGCGCTTTGAGATATCTAGAAGACGTGATAAGGCACTATATCAAATGCAAGGATTATTATTATTTTAACAGAGTAAATCTAGACTCAGTATGAGTCTTTTATTCCTCATGAATATTACCCCAGCCGAATGATGGCCATTTTTTTGGCTCTTTGCCTCTCATCCTTACCACTTCCCCTGGGGGCACTTTGAAGGTGGATGATTGACTCTCAAGCTTGATGGATGACGAAGATGTGATTTCAGACTTAATTGTTTTGGGAACCCGTTGAGCTTGAATTTCCATCTTCGAGTGGATTTTCTGTAGCAGGCATACAAGAACAACTAACATTACAGGGAAGAGCAGATTGCAGGTCACATTGTACAATTAAATACCATAGTGCAGTCATCGACAGTCAGAGAACAATTACAATTGCCTGTGGTGCACATGGCAGAGGAGTTATTACCTCTGGTGGCAATGCTGGAAATATTGTGTGTCTCACCTTAAATGCACTCTTTAACAAGTCAATTATGTTGGATGAATCTTCCTGGAGCAGGCCAACATGAGACACAGGGAAATATTGGCTCAATTGCTGTGGAAAAGAAGATACACTTTAATATTAAATCAAACAAGGAACATTCCAGACTGCTCAGAAGATTGACTTTGGAGCAGAAGGCTTTGAGTTTGATGGGTTGATTTGCTACTCTTCACTTTTTTAGGTTAAAATATTTTTTTAGGGATGAGGGGAAGATTGCAGGTTCTCCATTGAACTGTACTGGCTCTGAGAAAATATACGCGATAAAAGCAGATAGCTCCACTCTCCAAGGCAGACTTGGTGATGCAGAGGAGATCTGAATCCTCGGTTTAAATTGTAATATTGGCAAAAGGATGTGTTAGTTGCAAAACCAGCAAGTATTTGGCTTTACCTCAGAAACTTGGACATCAATCTTACAAGTTTTTACTTTAATGGCACTGTAGTGCACTAAAGGAAGCTCCTTACACACAACAGGAGATTGGAGGGTTGGGCTGAGACACATAACCAATGTAATGTATTGAAACACATACCCAATGCAACCTCCATGCACATTACAGAGTCTAATAGTGACAAAGCCATGAGTATGTTACACATCTTTTGAAACAAGTCACAAAACGTAACATTGGAATATCAGAATCATGTCAAAAATACTGTACCTTATAGTAACTATAGGAATGGTTAGTAACAGCAAAGATCGGGATGATACTTTCTCTAGCCAGCAGCCGGATGAGGGTTGGGATTGATGGGTAATCTTGATCAGTATCATACGTGTATTTGCCACTACTGTCCAGATGACAGGCTTCGTCATTGCGTTTCAAGATCCCAGAGAGCACATTGGAGCCATCTGCCTCATAATGAAAGGCCGACTCCGTTGAGAACACTAGCAGGTGAGTGGTGTGGTCTCTCCAACCAATTTGATTCTGTAATGAAACACACCGTAAACTGCGTGTAGCGGAGCAGAAATAATTTCTTATTAAATAAGAAGACACGTTGATACACGGGATCAGGGCACAGATACCCCTCCTGTGCTATGAGGCCAGAAGGTACATTGTAGGAAGGTACAATCCCATAACACAAATTTGAAGGTCTAAACACAACAATAACTTGTATTTATATAGCGCCCTTCACGCAGGGTAGTATCCCAGAACGCTTGAATTCCAATAAGAATCACAAAGCATGGATCTTCCTTTTTTACAGCTACTCTTAGGGATACAAATGAAAAGAAATTCAAACAATCTAATTTCAGGACTATTTTCTTTAGCTGAGTTGCCTCCAAGGTGATGTATGTGGCAGTGGGATGTCAGAATCAAGTCAACCATCTGCGGCGGTGTCAGTAGTCTGGATCCTGAGGCAGGTAAGTCTGTAGCACTCCAGAGTAATGCTTATGGCAGACCAGCCTGTCTGACTCGTCAACAGGACTTAAATGGGTGGAGTGGATAGCTGAACAAGCTTGGGAAGCTGGTTAAGACAATGCTTTCAATGGCAAGCTATGTGGTTTTAGCTAGTTGAATTCCAGCAGAACACACACATTAGGGTGGCCAAGCATTGGCTCTCACCAACTTGCACCTCATACTCTCTGGAATACAGAGAGCAGAATACAATCTCTCCAAGGGACAGAGTCCTGCATTCTATTCCAAACATAGGAACATTTCTGAGGGTAGGTAGCATACACACGTGCAACTCCCAGTCTGGTTTGGAAACTCTTAAACATGGGGGTTTCCTCATGTATCAGACACCCATCTGACCAAAAAAAATTATACCCCACTCACCCTACATGCAGCAACCTGAAGGATTGCATCAAATCCACCTTCGGGTGCGTCAAGATTCCCAGAAATCCTCTCCTTCTCCAGTTTCTTAGTGAACTGGTCTGTATTTGGTGTCAATTGAATTACATTTATGAAAGAAAATGGGGGATCACTGTTGGGCCAAGGTTCCTTAAGCCTAGAAGAGATGAAAGTAATGGTTGTTATACATAATTACTCTTTATGTGGATACTATCACGCTTTGCACCAATTCTTGTTTAACATTCACACATGCAGTGGTCGCAGGAGAGTAATCAAAAGATCAAAGTCTCTAGCTTTATCCCAGTAATCGCAATGATTCAAGTTAAGGACTTTCCCTTCTGCATGGCATAGGACTTACCTAGAAAACTGAGCCATCATGAAGGGCACATGCACCCTCTTTTCACAGTTATCTAATTTGTTCTTCCACGAACTCACCTAAAATTAATTACCCTGCTCTGGGAAGTGAATAGCAAAATGTAATAAAGGATCAATTCCAGGAACTAATATTAACCCGGGAGTAATAATCCCTTAAAAAAACAAGAAAAATAATAATTTGGTCACTCAATCCATGACTGTTTGTGGGACACCTCTCCGCACAATTGCCTGCCACGTTTCACCCATAAAATATACAGTCAATTCACCTTACAGTATATTGTTTGAAGCGCTTTGAGACGTCTCAAAGACATGATAAGATGCTATATCAAATGCAAGGATCATTATTATCTGACTATACAGTTCTCCCTTCAGCACTGCATTGGAGCGTCAGCCTAGATTTTGAGCTCAAAGTCCTGATATAGGGTATGAACCACAACCCTGTGACTCAGGAGAGATTGCTAACAACTGAGACAGGCCGACATCATAGTTGTTTTAATTGACTATAAAGAGAGATTTATTTTGTGTATATTCATTGGGAAAACATCCTTGTCCCTGGGAGTATCTTGCATTCTTATTACTGCACAAGGTTAACAGTAGGTTCATTTATCGAGAGTGTGTTTCATTCTTGCGCTGTGTAGTTACAGGAGCTCTTTAATCAGTGTGAGAGATCCAGAACTGAGGAACTCTGCAGGCAAAAGTGATTGATAGCAACCTGTCACAAGCATGAATGAACACTGGGAGACCATTGTTACTGAGTTATCCTGCTCATTCCGTAGGTCTGTGACTCAGTGGGTTTATTTCATGGGAATGAGTGTAAGTGTTCAAGTCGGCCTGAATCACTCTGCCCTGTAACTTGCATTGTACTGTTCCAGATTATAATAAACCAAGTTCACAGTCTGAAATAAAAATATGCTTTTGTCAGTAATCTTACAGTAGGTGAAACAGGCAACCGCTGAAGTCGTATTATTATTATTATGTGCCTGTTTCATTCCTCTCCTAGCCACACCCTATTACATGGTAATCTATCTGCCCTTTATAAATAAATAACTCAATGTATAAAAAGGAACTGGTCCCAGAGACTGCACAAGTCCAGTTTAATGACTTGCTGTTAGAGCTGGCCTGAATGAATCCTGTTCACTATTTCACTTGGGTTCTCTCGATAGCAAGCCACCCCACCACCCATTTTTAAACAAAAAGATTATCATGTGCTGTTTAGCAGCTGTAGCTGAGCTTACATTCTCAGCTTACAAGGGGAAATCTCGCTTCTTCTGAACGGCGATTGATGACCACTCTTGGGATTAGGGTTAGCCCGAGGGTCTCATGTCAGTCTGTGGAACAGTCACTTTATCGACAAATTTCCCAAAGCCATCCTTACCTCGAGGGTCTCATGTCAGTCTGTGGAACAGTCACTTTATCAACAAATTTCCCAAAGCCAATCTGGTAGTTAGAGGACATGAAGGACAAAACGTCAGCTGCAAAAGATTGAGAGAAGCGAGCAAAATCAGAGAGAGCTCAATTACGTTGCTGAATCAAATTGAATCTGGATGATGACTTTTCACTGGGGCACCTGAGTTTGAATCAAGTCTGGATAAAAATGAGGGAGAGTCTCCTCGACCTGATTTTTGCTAAGTGTTACAAATAAAATCATCTTCAACTGTATCAACAATGGATACAAGTCCATAGTGCATAACGGACCTCAACTAATAACCCTATTCCACAGGATTTGGCTTGTAAACAACATTCAGCACAGTCTGCTCTTACCCAGTTTATTGCCCAGTTTTTTCAAGTTATCCAAGTCATCACTCATAGAGTTGGAGAAGTCCATAAGAAAATATAAATCTAAAGGAGCTCTCTTTGGGTGGAAGACCATCATGTTCAATGTCTTCTCATCGCCTGCCCGCAGATTTACAATGACCTCCTGTGGCGAGATCTGGGTTTCATTCAAGTTGATGTTAATACCCGTTTCCTGAGGAATGAAAAGACAAAAAGGTTTATTACCCAGTTGTATATCAGGAGCTGAAGTAATTGAGAGAAGTTCACCTTCTCAGAAGTTCATTTGGATTGTGAAAACGCCTCGATGAATACTTTAAGAATTGAAATTTAATAAGAATTTTTTTTTCACACAGAGTACAAAACCACTACTAACCAGAGAATGTCGATTGACATTAAATATATTTCTACTCTTCTCGATTGCTCAGTGGGTGAATGCACCATTTAATGTGGTCATGAACCATACAGATCAGATAGGTCCTAGGTTCAGTTCCTCGACTGTGTGAATCAACTGAATGCAGGGTGTTGGAGGTAGGGCTATAATTGGCTTCAGTGTTGGGTGAAGAACACTTAATGCCTTCTTGTGATGACAATTCTGTAACCAGCATCCAGGCTTACCCATGAAAATTGGCTAGTCCTTGGATGAAATACAAGAGAACACTGCTCTCATCCACAAAATTGTGTACATGGAGTCCTGTAGCTCAGTGGTTAGAGCACTCGCTTTGCAAGCGAGAGACCTGAGTTCAATTCCAGGCAGGGAGAAACCTTGGGCAGGATTCCTTACTCCACACAGAGCCTAATAATAATCCCTCCAAAACCAAAAACAATAATAAAATTGGTCATTTTTAATCTACGACTGTTTGTAGGACATTGCTGTGCGCAATTGGCTGCCGCGTTCACCCACAAATATACAGTCAATTCACTTTACAGTGTGTTCTGTGAAGCGCTTTGGGACGTCCTCCCGATGTGAAAAGCGCTATATCAAATGCAAGGATTATTATTATTATTATTATTACATTATGTTACTGCTTTCAGGAGAAAGGGGAGAAAAGAGAATGGAAGGGGGAGGAGAGGACTATTGTTAATATGTTTAATTCTCCAAGAAGGATACTTATAATGAGGTTTCCTCTTTGGGAAAATAAGCCTTGATAGTATGGCAACATCTTAATAGGTTATGGTGGTAAGACATCTTCTCATGAAGGGTGTTAAGAACTTAGCCCCCTTATATTATGTTTCCAGTGAAGAGGGTATGCTGCAGATTTTTTCAAGTAGCACTGATCTCTGGGCTCTTTTGAGGATATACTGTACCTTCACTATGTTAATCGAACTGTGCATTTGGACAATCTTTTTACAGTTTTGATCTTCCAGGTTTTTCTCAAGATCACATCTGAAGGAAGGAAATTTCTGTACAAAGAGAAGAGAATACTAATTACTCAACACCTCCTAAGGCAAATGACAATGTTCTTGGGAATATCAGAATTAATATCTGAATTAATTGGCACTGTTGTGACAGTTTACTCACCATGAAAGATATAGACCATGTATAATACTTTGAGCCCTTCAGCTTTATTTTAATCAGGTGCTCTTCTGAACTTTTCTCTTATGCTTCACTTAAACTACACATGTGCAGTCCTATTTGTTCTTGCTCATCATTGTGTTGAAATTAAAATTTATCTAAAAACTCTAACTAATCTAACGGGACTTGAACTCACATTATTCTAGGCTGACACTCCAATGTTGCATTGTTCGAGGTGATGTCCTCTGCATATAAACTTAATCTGACGTCCCGACTGCCTGTTTGAAGATCCATTCTAAAAGTACTATTCTAAAAGAGAAGGGATATTCTTCCAGTATCCTGGCCAACAATCCCCAAATAAAATTGGTCCTTCACTTCTAAATGGCCTGCCACGTTCGCCTACATATAAATACGCACTACCTCAAGACCGCAGATCTCCTCACCTTTCCCAGTCTTCTTTTCCTCCTAGATGCTTTTAAAATCGTGTCTTGCCATTTTCTAACTCTATTTTTTGATTTATCTCATCTTCTCTCCTATGATTTTTAATATTGGTGGTGTCCTGTATTATGTCTCAATAATAAATAATCCATAAGGGGTGTTATGATTTTATCCTGTAATATGAGAAAGTTGCAATTTTTGTAAGCCTTGAAGTGAGTTGAGCTTGTGAGGTATGTCATTTTAGAAGCTGTATGTTGTAATGATGTGAGAGCACAGCCATTACCTGTGGAACATGTGTCACATGGTCCTTGTATTATGGCTTTATTCCTAAGGGTATCTGGCTATAGTTTGTATGTAATTTCCCAGCGCCTTGGGATGTTCCTCCCGACGTGAAAGTCTCTATACAAATCTATATATTTTGTTTGTATATAACTTACCTCATCTGCACAGTAGGAACATTCCTTGGCTATTTGGATACATGCAGTACAATTCTTAGCTCGACTCGTCCAGCAACGATTGACTAAATATGAAAAGAAAATAGTGTGAAATTAGGAAAACACAAAACCAACCAACACAAAACAGGAAATCCAAACAGACACAGAAGAGGAATGACTATGGTGCAAATCCTCAACTGTTCAGCGCCTTGGGACTTCCTCCCAATGTGAAAGGCGCTACACAAATGTAATTTGTTTTGACTAAGATAGAGTGTAGGAAGTACTGCACAATCAGACATAGAATAGGGAGCAAAATGTAATTTGTTTTGACTAAGATAGAGAGTAGGAAGTACTGCACAATCAGACATAGAATAGGGAGCAAAACCAGATACAAATCAAGAAATACATTCAGTTATCAGGAGAGGCTAGAGAAGCTAGGATTATTCTGCTTGGAGCAGAGAAGGTTAAGAGGAGACTTAATAGAAGTTTTCAGAGGGGATTCAATAGGGTGAACAAGGAGAAACTATTTCCACTGGCGGGTGGGTCGGGAACCCGAGGACACCGATTTAAAATAGTTGTTAAAAAGAAACAGAGGGGAGGTGAGGCGAAATGTTTTCACACAGCGAGTTGCTCGGATCTGGAATGCTTTCCATAAAAGGGTGGTGGAAGCCGATTTCATAACAACTTTTAAGAGAGAAATAGATAATTATTTGGGGAGGACAAGTTGCAGGGCTATGAGGGAGAGAGCTGGGGAGTAGGATTGATTTTGAAGCTCTTTTCAAAGAACCGGCACAGGCACGATGGGCCGAATGACCCTTCTGTGCTGTATCATTCTATGATTCCATGATACATTCGGGTACAGATTGAGAAATATAATCCGATACAGGGAGGAAAATGAAAAATAATTTGAATTGCATTACCTATCTCTGTTCTTGTTTTGCAGACTCCATTACATTTATATAGCGTCTTTCATGTCAGGAGGACATCCCAAGGCACTGAACAGATAAGTGTTTGCACCTGAGTTAGGGGGGTTCCAGATGAGTGGAGGAGAGGGGGCGCCAACTTGGCAAGCATAAATTTAGTCCCTGTCTATGTTAAATAGTGAGCTATTTTCTCTGTTAGGTGTTAAAAAGATTAACGACCACCGAACAAATAGATAGAAAGATGAGGAATCTTACCACTCTGTCCCCGGCACACAGCTCCCAACAGGATAACTATCACCACTGAACACCATATCCTCCCGTGTTCCATCTCCTGGTTTAATAGATGAAGGAACTTGAGGTTATTCTTAGAGGTTAACCACAACAACGTGCATTCATATAGCGCCCCTCACCCAGAGAATTGAAACCCATCAGAGTTCCATGCATCCCACCTATACATAGAAATTCCGAAGATGTTTATTGTAAACCAATGCATACCAACTCATCTACCTCTCAACATTAACCAACTCATCTACCTCTCAACATTAACCAACTCATCTACCTCTCAACATTAACCAACTCATCTACCTCTCAACATTAACCAACTCATCTACCTCTCAACATTAACCAACTCATCTACCTCTCAACATTAACCAACTCATCTACCTCTCAGATTCACAAGCCATGACATTTCTTAGGGAGTTGAACTTTTTCTGGCTGGAAGTATGCCTTTAAACTGAACAAAAAAATCCCTATTACATAAACGTGGAGTGCCGATCTCTCTGCAGTGTTCTGAACCCTGGTGCTTTGCAGGAGCAAAATTCGTGCAGGATCCTTGAAGTCAGTAGAAAGCAGAAACTTTCAGCCGTTCCTGTCTGATTTTTGAATCCCTATCTCAGGGATAAAATGCCAGTGTAACAATCGACAGTGCCAACCTGTCCTCTTGCAGGTCAAGAATCTCTAGAGTACAAAACTGAACATCACTATAGAATTCATAACAGCCAGGGATCTGTATTGTGTTATACACAATACTTAATCTAATCAACATCTGCAGTAAACACAGTTAATTTTATTCTTGGAAATATAATTCCAACTGTTCAAGGTTCACTAGACTTAATATGTATTTAAGGGTTCTGAGATGCTACCCTACGTGGAGGGCGTTATATAAGTGGAAGTTGTTGTAATATATCTTTAATCATTCATCTCAACTAGAACTATTTTGAACTTACAGTCCAAGTGGAGTGCAAGTAGAGCAATGCATTGTCAGATGTGCTGTGTTTTGGATGAGAGTTTTTAAATTGAGATCTCGTCTACCTAGGATAGTAAAGATCTCATAGCATTATTCGAAAAGAGGAAGCAATTCCTCTTTAGAGCAATTCCTGTGAAGCATTTTGTGGTGTCTCAGCTACGTGATAAGACACCATATCAAATCCAAAGATTATTAACTTAATTAAACATATCTGACATGAGGCAATAAGATTGGAACTGATAAATTTGAATGAGTCATCATCATAAAGAACATTAGAAGGTCTCAAACCACAGAACACAGAATGATCTCAGAATACAAATAATGGCTAGATATCCAAAATCTCTGAATGAACTTGCATTTATTTTCGAATAGTGCCACAAGATCTTTAATATCCTAGGTAGACAAGATCTCAGTTTAAAAACTCATCCAAAGCACAGCACGGCTGACTATTTTGCATCCAGTAAAACGTCTCAAAGCCTTTCACAATAATTATTATTACATGAGGCAGATTTTATGAGGCAGATTTCTATCTAATCTACTAAATACTTAGAATATAACTGTTTTTCCTAGAACATAGATTAGCTCTCGTGACCTTGTCAAAGTTGGTGCTTGTTAATTGCTGTCGTGTTTCCAGTTGAAATATTGAAAGACAATAACAGCTCAAGTAGATATATCCCCTGCTATTCAGTCTGATCAGCGAGCGAATGAGAATTTTATGTTATCACAACGAAAACATTGTCAAAGTTGGTGTTTGTTAATTGCTGTCGTGTTCCCAGTTGAAATACGGAAAGACCCAATAACAGCTCAAGTAGATATATCCCCTGCTATTCAGTTTGATCAGTGAGCGAATGAGAATTTCTATGTTATCACAACAAAAACATTTCTCAGCTCTTTATTCTGGTCCAAAACAATCACTATTTCAAGATTGTGCTCAGCTGTTACCGCAAGAGATGGGCAAAACATTCACTCAGCCTTCAAATATTCTGTCCTCTTAGAAAAGTAGTCTACATGCTCCTTGTCTACGCTGGCACTTCAATGCAGGACTGGGGAAACCCTCCTATGAATGAGATTTTAAACCGAGGTCGCACCGGTCTGTTCAGGTAATAATAATTGATGTATGATATCTTATTGTGTCAGTGAGACGTCACAAAGTGCTTCACAGGATTTTACTGTGTAGTGACTATATTTGTAGGCAAATGGGGCAGGCAATTTACGTACAGCAATGTCCCACAAATAGCCATGAAGTGAATGACGGATTATATGTGTAGACTTTAAAGATTCCGTGCTCCTATTGCAAAAGAGAAGAGTTTCTTGTTTTGTCCACAAAATACAGTCAATTCGCTTTACAGTATATTCTGTGAAGCGCTTTGAGACGTCTGGAAGATGTGATTAAGCACTATTTCAAATGCAAGGATTATTGTTATTATTCTCCTCATGTTCTTACCAACAATCCCCGATAAAACTATTGGGCATTCACTTCATGGCTGCTTGTGGGACTTTGCTGTGTGAAAATTGGCTGCTGCGTTCACTGAGTCTTTACACTTCATTGCAAACTCTGTGAAGTGCCTTGAGAAGTTTGGACGTGAGAAAACGTTACATCAATTACAAGGAATATTACAGTATTAATCCTATTCACTGGCCCAAGTTTCAAATCTGTAAACCCTGATTCGAGATTCTCGAGGAATTGGATTTGAAAACCTATCCAGTTACACCTTGAGTGAGGAGCCCTACAGCACTATGACATTCTGCACAAGCTTTCTGAGAGGCTTATGTAAGGGGTTAAGAATAATGGAGATCAAAAGTCCTTTGTTTTCTTGCGAAGAAAGTCTTAACCTTTTCAGCGCTTTAAAAAAATCTTCCGAATTGAGATGCAACAGAGAGAGGGAGAGAGACCCAAACCTCCAGTTGCTGAATAATTATTAAGTGTTTGGACTGAAGTTGTTGAAAATGTTAGATTTTTGGGTGGGGGGAGGTTGGGGGTTGGGTAGGGGGAAAGGATCGTTGTCCTGTGCTTTAGCGGCCGAGGAATAGGAACGGTTTAACTGCAGACAACGTCTGCCTGAAATGCTTAAGTCTCCAGACAGAAGTTATTGCAAAACTTTGGCTTGGAATAACTTGGCGCGCAATACAATTTCAGAAGATATTTCCTCCCTCGCACCGGCTGCCCGCGTTTGAAAGCTGCAAAAAAAAAAAGCATTTGAAGAAAAAAGAAAGCTCAAGGTCAATAATCACGACTGTCAAAAGAAAGAGAGAGAGAAAAAAATATATATCACACAACATGAAAAGTTTAGAACAAACTGCTGTAAGTGTTTGTCAGCCTCAGGAAACCCCTCTGAACACAACAGGTCAACAGCCAACAACGACCCCTCATTCTCAAAGCTGCTGTGAATGCAAAACTACCTCGAAATACCTGATCTACATACAAGAACACGCACTTAACTTACTTACCCTCCACACAGACCGCTTTAGTTATGACCAAAAAAAACACACACATACACCCCCTCCCCACACACACCCCCTCCCCACACACACCCCCTCCCCACACACACACCCCCTCCCCACACACACACCCCCTCCCCACACACACACCCCCTCCCCACACACACACACCCCTTCCCCACACACACACCCCCTCCCCACACACACAACCCCTCCAACACCCCTCCCCACACACACAACCCCTCCACCACCCCTCCCCACACACACACCCCCTCCAACACCCCTCCCCACACACACCCCCTCCCCACACACACCCCCTCCCCACACACACCCCCTCCCCACACACACACCCCTCCCCACACACCCCCTCCCACACACCCCCTCCCCCACACACACCCTCCGCACACACACAACCCCTCCCCACACACACACCCCCTCCCCCCACACACCCCCTCCCCACACACACCCCCTCCCCACACACACGCCCCCTCCCCACACACACACACACACCATCCCCACACATACACACACCCCCTCCCCCCCCCACACACACACACCCTCCCCACACATACACACACCCTCTCCCCCCCCACACACCCCCCACACACACCCCCTCCCCACACACACCCCCTCCCCACACACACACACACATACCCCACACACCCCCTCCCCACACACACCCTCCCCACACACACCCCCTCCCCACACACACCACCCTCCCCACACACACCACCCTCCCCACACACACCACCCTCCCCACACACACCACCCTCCCCACACACACCCCCCTCCCCACACACACCCCCTCCCCACACACACACACCCCCTCCCCACACACACACCCCCTCCCCACACACACACACACACATACCCCACACACACCCCCTCCCCACACACACACCCCCTCCCCACACACCCCCTCCCCACACACACACATACCCCACACACACCCCTCCCCACACACACACATACCCCACACACACCCCCTCCCCACACACCCCCTCCCCACACACACACATACCCCACACACACCCCCTCCCCACACACACACCCCCTCCCCACACACCCCCTCCCCACACACACACACACATACCCCACACACACCCCCTCCCCACACATACACCCCCTCCCCCCCACACACCCCCTCCCCACACACACCCCCTCCCCACACACACCCCACAGTGGGGTTGAGGATACGCACCAATGCCTAAGAGGAGAGTTTCTAACCAAAGCAAAGTCCAAGTCTGTGTCTCATTGCAAATGACACTCAGAATCTTTTAAACACAACCCTCAGCCCTCAACCCTCAGCCCTCAGCCCTCAACCCTCAACCCTCAGCCCTCAACCCTCAACCCTCAGCCCTCAACCCTCAGCCCTCAACCCTCAACCCTCAGCCCTCAGCCCTCAACCCTCAGCCCTCAGCCCTCAACCCTCAGCCCTCAGCCCTCAGCCCTCAGCCCTCAACCCTCAACCCTCAGCCCTCAACCCTCAGCCCTCAACCCTCAACCCTCAGCCCTCAACCCTCCAGTTATCAGAGAGTCAGATTCCCTTCTGATCCACTCCATTTCCTCTCGAATATGACCTATTTCCCAGAGCCAAGTTTGACGACACTCGGCTCAGACTCGCAGTTCCCAGTGGGGGTGAACCTGACTTACCTTTTCTCCCAAACTTCGGTTCCTCCTCCGGACCAAACAGCAACTGCTCTCTCCCTCTCTCCCTCTCTCCCTCTTTCTTTCTTTCTTTCTTTTTTTCTCTCTTTCTTTCTTTTTTTTCTTCCTTTCTTTCCCTCTTCTGTCTCCCGTGTAGGTGCTGAGCGGATGGCTGAGCAGAGTTGGAGTGGCTGAGCTCTGGGGCTGATGAAGCTTTAGCTGTTCAGGTGTTAGTCACTGTGAGTAATTCTCGCATTCCTCCCTTATACCTGTACTGACACGACCGCGCCGCCCTCTCTCAGCTCAGGGCAGGGCAGGGCAGGGCAGGGCTGGCAGGGCAGGGCAGGGCAGGGCTGGGCAGGGCAGGCAGGGCTGGCAGGGCAGGGCTGGCAGGGCAAGGCTGGGCAGGGCAGGCAGGGCTGGCTGGCAGGGCTGGCAGGGCAGGGCAGGGCAGGGCTGGCAGGGCAGGGCTGGCAGGGCTGGGCAGGGCAGGGCTGGCAGCTCAGGGCAGGGCTGGCATGGCTGGGCAGGGCAGCTCAGGGCAGGGCTGGCAGGGCTGGCAGGGCTGGGCAGGGCAGGGCTGGCAGGGCAGGGCAGGGCTGGCAGTGCAGGGCTGGGCAGGGCAGGGCTGGGCAGGGCAGGGCTGGCAGGGCAGGGCAGGGCAGGGCTGGCAGGGCAGGGCAGGGCAGGGCTGGCAGGGCAGGGCAGGGCAGGGCAGGGCTGGCAGGGCTGGCAGGGCAGGGCAGGGCTGGCAGGGCAGGGCAGGGCAGGGCTGGCAGGGCAGGGCAGGGCAGGGCAGGGCTGGCAGGGCAGGGCAGGGCTGGGCTGGGCTGGCAGGGCACGGCAGGGCAGGGCTGGCAGGGCAGGGCAGGGCTGGCAGGGCAGGGCAGGGCAGGGCTGGCAGGGCAGGGCTGGGCTGGCAGGGCACGGCAGGGCAGGGCTGGCAGGGCAGGGCAGGGCTGGGCTGGGCAGGACAGGGCAGGTCTGGACAGGGCAGCTCAGGGCTGGGCAGGACAGGGCAGGGCTGGGCAGGGCAGCTCAGGGCAGGGCTGGCAGGGCAGGGCAGGGCTGGACAGGGCAGGTGTGGACAGGGCAGCTCAGGGCTGGGCAGGCAGCTCAGGGCTGGGCAGGTCTGGACAGGGCAGCTCAGGGCTGGGCAGGGCAGGGCAGGGCTGGCAGGGCAGGGCTGGCAGCTCAGGGCAGGGCTGGCAGGGCTGGCATGGCTGGGCAGGGCAGGGCAGGGCAGGGCTGGCAGGGCAGGGCTGGGCAGGGCAGGGCTGGGCAGCTCAGGGCAGGGCTGGCAGGGCAGCTCAAGGCTGGGCTGGGCAGGACAGGGCAGGTGTGGACAGGGCAGCTCAGGGCTGGGCAGGGCAGCTCAGGGCTGGGCAGGGCAGCTCAGGGCTGGGCAGGGCAGCTCAGGGCTGGGCAGGGCAGCTCAGGGCTGGGCAGGCAGCTCAGGGCTGGGCAGGTCTGGACAGGGCAGCTCAGGGCTGGGCAGGGCAGGGCAGCTAAGGGCAGGGCAGGGCAGCTCAGGGCTGTGCAGGACAGGGCTGGGCAGGGCAGCTCAGGGCTGGGCAGGGCAGGGCAGCTAAGGGCAGGGCAGCTCAGGGCTGTGCAGGACAGGGCTGGGCAGGGCAGCTCAGGGCTGGGCAGGGCAAGGCTGGGCATGGCAGGTCTGGGCATGGCAGGGCTGGGCATGGCAGGGCTGGGAAGGGGAAGGCTGGGCTGTGCGTGTGCAACGCCAGTCAATAAACCATTAAGACCCTCAAAAAAAAATGCAACTACAACACTCAATAACCCTCGTCACACAACCTCCTTTTAGGGGAAGCAACACAGCCACTCAGTGTGGAATTTAATACATCCCCCTCTACCCCCCCCCCCCCCCCCCACACACACACACACACACTTATTTAGAAGTTGTACAGTACAAAGTCTACCCTCAATCCACTTTACAGTTATGTCCTGCCAAGCGATTTGAGATGTCTCGACCATGCGATGAGGCGCTGTATCAAATGCAAGGATTATGATCACTGCAATTCAAACCAAATAGCACAGCGTCAAGTCAATACTAACACAACGGGCGCAGTGGTAGAGCAGAACTGCCACAGTTCGGTAATGTGCCAGCTCCCATAGCGATGAAAGCAAATAAACAACCCACCATCACAGTCATTACGCAACTCACGTAATAGACTGCTCCCCCCAACTCCACCTCCCACATCATGCAACAGCAAAACTTATTGGAACTGATTAACCCAGGAAACTGTTCCCCAAGCCACTCAGCGGCTAAACAACTCAATGCAAAAACTGTGAGGCTCTTCTGCTCCACTCAAGCCCTGAAGTTAGTGAATCTGTTGATTTGTTTGTTTGTGAAGCTGCTCCTTTTGGGAATTCATCCTCGTAGATGGAGTTTTAAGTATTTCGTTGGATTCTGCATTTACCATGTAGTTAAATAATGTAAACTAATCCTGAAATACTGTACAGGTAAGTGCATAGGGGCAAATTTACAATGGAAACAGGATAATGGTTAACCGAATCTTTGCTTCATGGCCCGATGGATGGTTAATAATCACCATAGGAGATGCACCATGAGTGATTTTGTGTTTGTTTCGCTCTTATAGAATCATAGAATCATAGAATCGTACAGCACAAAAAGAGGCCATTCGGCCCATCGAGTCTATGTCGACTCTTTGAATAGAGCAATTAATGTCAATCCCACTCCCCAGCCCTTTCCCCATAACTCTGCAAACCCGTCCTCCTCAAATACCCGTCCACCACGTTTTTAAAAGTAGTTATCGAATCGGCCTCGACCGCCCTTTCAGGCAATGCCTTCCAGATTCGAATAACTCGCTGCATGAAAAAAAAATTCTCACCTCCTCTCTGCTTCTTTCAGAGACTATTTTGAATCTGTGACCTTGAGTCATGGACACATCCACCAGTGGGAACAATTTTTCCCTTTCTAACCAAATCAAACCCCCTCATGATTTTAAAGAGCTTTATTAGGTCTCCTTGTAACCTTCTCTGCTCCAATGAGAATAATCCTCACCTCTCCAGCCTTTCCTCATCATCACGGTCCCTCATTCCTGGTACCATCCTCGTAAATCTCCTCTGTACCCTTTCCAATGCCTTAACATCCTTCCTATAGTGTGGTGCCCAGAACTGGGCGCAGTATTCTAACTGAGGCCTAACCAGTGTTTTATATCGGTTAATCATAACCTCCTGACTCTTGTACTCTATGCCCCTATTTATAAAGCCTAGTATCCCATATACCCTTTTTACAGCTTTATCTCCCTGTCCTGTCACCTTCAAGGATTCACTTACCTGCCCCCCCAGGTCTCTCTGTTCTTTCACCCCCCTAAGATTGTATTACCGCCTATATTGCCTCCCCTCATTCTTTCTATCAAAATGCATTGTCTCGCATTTCTCCACATTGAAACTCATCTGCCATGTGTCGCCCATTTTACCATTCTGTCTATGTCTTCCTGCAGTTGGCTACTATCCTTCTCACTGTTTACTACCCTAAGTAATTTTGTGTTGTCCGCAAACTTGGAAATGGTACTTACTATATCCAAGTCCAGATCATTTATGTATATTAAGAAGAGCAGTGGTCCTAATACCGATCCCTTGGGGACGCCACTGTACACTTCCCTCCAGTCAGAAAAGCAGCCGTTCACCACAACTCTCTGCTTTCTGTCTCCCATCCAGTTCTGGATCCATGCTGCCACTGTCCCTTTTATACCATGGGCTTCTATCTTTCTTACAAGTATTACAAGTCTTGCCAACCTGCGCCCAATACTTTCTGGAATTAGGTAAGCAGGATGTGTCCCTCCATGGAGAGAGTGTGCATTTCATTCCAAATCTCTGGGATTTCCATGTATAGAGGGGTAAATGGAAATCTCAGCTTGGTTTGGATATTCTTAAGCATAATGATGGGTGTTTCTGCATGTGTCAGACAACCCAGCTGACCAAAAAAAAGATTACACTCTTCCGTATTTCTCTTCAATACTTTGGTAACTCATTTGACATCACCGTGGTACAGTCTTCCCCTGTGCCTTTGAATCAGTGGCTTTGAAACCCTATGCCTTTTTCACACAAAGCGTAGTGGAAATCTGGAACTCTCTCTACCAACCATTCACAAACAGCAATATCATAGAATCATAGAATATTACAGCACAGGAGGCTATTCAGCCCATTGTGCTTGCGCCCGCACTTTGGAAGAGTTCTCCAATCAGTCTCACTACCCCGCTTTTTCCCCATTTTCTTGCAAATTTTTCCTTTTCAAGTACCTATCCAATTCCCTTTTGAAAGTTATTATTGAAAGTTGTTGTTACTGGCTCCGGTGTCCTTGTCCCCAGGGCCACCCACCCCACCATCAGTGGCAGTGCTTTCAGCCAATATGCCTCGAAGCTGTGGAACTCTCTCCCTCAATCCCTTGGCCTCACACCCCCCTCCCTAATTTCAGGTTGTGCTTGAAGACCTTCCTCTTTGACATGGCTTGGAATTGGGCTTTGACACTGTTAAGCGCTCCGAGACACTGTCTGGTGTAAAGGGTGCAATATAAATACAAGTTGTTGTTGAATCTGTTTCGAATTCCCTTCAGGCATTGCATTCCAGACCAAAGCAACTCTCCTCATCTCCCCTCTGGTTCTTTTGCCAATTATCTTAAATCCATGTCCTCTGGTTACCGACCCACCTACCAATGGAAACGGTTTCTCCATATCTACTGTATCAAAAACCCCTCATAATTTTGAACACCTCTATTAAATCTCACCTTAACTTTCTCTAAGGAGAACATTCACAGTTTCACTAGTCTCTCCACATAACTAAAGTCCCTCATCCCAAATACCATTCTGGTAAATTTCCTCTGGACCCTCTCCAAGGCCTTGATGTCCTTCCTATAGTGTGGTGCCCATAATTGGACACAATACTCCAACAATAATAATAATATTCCACAATTGATGTTACATACTTCGCTGGTGTAAATTGGCTAGCATGTTTGCCTACAAATACAGTCAATACACTTGATAGCAATTGCTTGAGCGATTTTGATGTTTGTAGCTAAATTAAAGTGATTTATTAAGTTTCAATGCAGAATTTCCTCAAATCTTTAAAATAGGTTATAGCAAAGACTGGTAAGAACTCATCATTTCAGCCCACAACATGTACTGGGAAGGATTCATTTAATATGATGTTGGAGTGCCCAGTACAAAGAACTTTTGGCCAGATGTGCCTTGGTTTCATGTATTTGCATGTTGTCCTGATAGAATTTCCTTCAGCTGTTTCCTTCACCCCTGCATTTTTTGCAGTGTTTGAGAGTCCTAGCAAGGGTGCTCATAGGAACGGAATAGCGGATGTATGGTTGTCCAACACGAGATGTCCAGGAATTCAAGACAAAATTACCGGTTAGCTGTGCAGCCAGTGCTGTTAAAAGATTACTATTGTTTCTGGAATAGAAATAAATGAAACAAGGATGAAGCTCGCCCTCAAATACAAGGGTGGCCGACACTGCCAAAGGCTGGCGTGCGGATGCTAAACCTCTGGATAGTCAGCATGTAATGCCTGGATATTGGACCAGTCAATATTTCCTGATGCATTCCATCATCTATTTCCCTAACAATGGATTTCTGTTTGTCTACTAAAGGGCTTCATAGCCTATGTGCAGTTTTATTGCAGGAATTCCAGGATCCACGAGTTTTGCTTTCTCTAACATCCCTTTGACTGCAGTTGCCAGTTACGAACCATTTCTCAGTAGCACTGCAGAGCCTCTGTGTAGGGTCACATTCAAGGTCATAGATGAAGTGATATATCAAATGCAACGATTATTATTTATTATAAATGTCTACTATTTTAGGTTGGACAGGATACTAAATATTAGATTCAGATAAGCATGGTTTATTTTTAATTGTACTTAGCATTCTGTGCCTTGGTTCAGAGATTGTGAAACCATTTTGTATCTGAAAATAAATAGAAAAGGAAAATGAAGGAAAATACTCCAAATCATGACCATTTCTTGACGTGAATAATTCTCGGGTTTCCAGTGTCTAATTTGCTGAGTTGTGTGTGTCCTTTTCCTCCTTGGTCACCCTTTTGCCTGCCTGCTGTTCCCAGCGTCTTTCTATCCAATATCATTAACTGTATCTCTCCTTTGTTCTACTCTCCACGTACAAAGGTCTCTAACTTGGAGTTTGCTAACTGCAGCAAAGTTTTCTTGCTACCCTCATGTTAAACACTGACAGCGCTTTTGCACAGCATCGCATTTCAGGGTTTGAAAGGGGAAAGAAGACCAAGGTCTAGCTGGTTCACCTTCCACCATCCTTTTTTCCTCCCTATACTAGGGCCATTGAGACCAATTGTAGAGCCCCAGAGAGCTACCCCAGCTAACGTCAGACCTCGATACAAAACGTGTGCATTAACGGTCCACACGATGGCCTGATGGATGAAGGCAGGTCATCGTGTGGACCGTTAATGCACACGTTATGATCTCAAATAAAAATGCTCTTTCAATCTTTTAATCAATTACAATCCAGTTTCTAAAGTTTTGTGTTTATAAGTTTGGTGCAAGTTTGAACTGGAGCTGGGAACCTGGCAACAGGATACATAATAGTAAATCATTTCACGTTGAAGGGAATCACAACCTAAGGTCACTAGTGGTTAGATGTCTCATTAAAAAAATTTAAATAATGAATATGAAATATTTTATTTCAGCTTTATGTAAACATGTAGAATAACAAACAACTGGAAAATCACTCCAGAGGATGTTTTGGAAACACATGATCCAGCTGCTCCCTCTACCGCCCTGGGCCACATCAGAAGGTGCTGTTCGGAGTCTCACAAGGCTGATTAGAGGCACAAAACACCTCAACCGTCACATTTTAGCACTCCAAAAATGGTTGACTGCTATTACCTGTAATAAATGAATCCTACCTGCACAAGTCATATTGTATGAAATTCCTGCATAGATCTTACTCTACACAATCACTGTATAAATCTGTTACTCTGCACAATTCATAATTAATGTACAAATTTGTTGCAGTATACTCGCTGCTAAGAGACAACTTTCAGTGGAGAAGAGGCAATGCATTTGGTCTCAGCATTTGGTCTTCCCTTGGGAGTTCTGAGAGCAATGGGCCTTACTGTTGTGTGGGATTCCTAGCTCCCACTCTACAAGCTGAGACAAGCTGATTGCTTGTGATGAGAGAGGTAAGTTCTTTCTGTCATTTTTTCAGTTGCTTCCATCGTTCTGAGATTTATACCAATGTGTTCAGCAGAGGCCAAAAATTACATTTGATCGTAGCCTTACAGCTTCAATATCGTGGAAAAAAAATCTTAAGATTGCACATACTGTTTAGTTCTGTGATCGCCTTTGTTTTGTACTTTATGTACATCGGCACTTTGGACAGGGGTGGCTTAAAAAAGCTAAACAAGACATTGCAAATACAGTTTGGGTTCAGCAATGCTGGAGCTGGCCATTAAAATCTAAGTACCCTGACCACAAAGTTCTAGGATCAATTTAAATTGCATGAAGTGAAAAAAAAATCATTTATTTCTGCTTACAAGCCGTTGCTAGCAACTACTGATTCAATATTATCCTGCTATTATGGTGCTTATGTGTGAGAACTCACTAACAGAAGAAACAGAAATGTACTGTAACAGAGAAACAGAAATCACCATTCACATGGTGTATGGGTCCAGTTTTCACACCTCAGTAACCCCCGCCGACAATGACCCCCTCCCCGTCGAAACCGCCTCAGATTTACAATGTGCCCATTTCAATGGCATCTCAGAGCAGCACATAGTGATGTGCTGGAAGCCACCTCCACAGCTCCCACCCCCAGAATTATTTTCGTTTCACAAGCAACTCTTCTGTGGGACAGTATCTTTCTTGATCCAGGCAATATACAACGTTCAGAAGCGGCCTCAGTTCATTGCTTCTGTGTACATCAGCGAGGATGCGTGAAGTTGGGAATGGCTGAAGATGAAAAGTGCTCCTGAGGTTTGAAGAGGTCGGCCCATTCCTCGGCAGCTCACTGCTTGGCTTTCTTCACGATGGTACCGACAGCAGATATGACTGTTGTTTTTGCCCCTGTTGCACTAGTAGTTACCGTGACTACCCCTGGCAATGTGGCTGTGGTGGTGATGATCGTCGGTTGTGCTATTGTGGTCACAGGCACCGCTGAGTCCCATTTGCTCTTCCTTTTTTGATTATCTGCGGAACAGGACACAGAGAGAGGGGAGATCAATAAGGACTCCTGACATTGGACCTCACATTGACACTGCATCTTCTTTCCAGAGAGAAAAGGGCAGCCCCCCTCTCTCAAGATCCTTCCCAGAGATAGGACGACACGCCCTAACCAGCTACCCCACCACCCAAATGTGAAACAACGCCACTTCTGCCTCCTCCCACCCACCCCCAAGAGTAGGCGACACTCCCAATCTTGAAGACGATTCCCTTCCCGAAAGCACACTACACCTTGCTGTCTGAGGTAGTGGGTACCCCTGACCACCGGACGTGTGGGCTGGAGGGGCTGAGGCTTTACCTGTCGCTGTGCTGCTCGCTGTGTTAGTGGTACCGGTGGCAGCACTAGTGCTTGTGCCAGTTTTTGTTCTTGTAACAAATTCAATCTAGAAAACACAACATATAAAGTAATAAAAACTCGAACAGAAATGGTCAATAGTCATTACAAACCACTTCCTGCACACAACGGTCTTGCCCCACCCACACCACACACACACACACACATTCACTCTCCTCAGACACATACACATCTGAAATACCCTCACACACACTTTAGGCACACACACTCATCCTCTTCACATATATTTCACACAAACACATAAATCATACACACACACACAGCTTTCATGGAGGATTAAGGAGGCAACCTCAAAGTGCTTCACAGTGGAGCATAAATCAATATTTATTTTAAACATTTACAGTATGTGTTGAACTTGGGTGTGTGGAGCAAGTGTTATTGTTGCCATCAATAATTTTACCCACCTTCGTCCTCTCCTTCTTGGCTTTCTCAATCTTGTCCATTTCTATCTTTTGTGCCTTGGCTGCAAACCGATAAGAAATCAGCAATTTACACGAGAGAAAAAGGACTAAAAACTGTGTTGAATAGACAGAGAGACACATAGAAACTGATAAAAAAAAGTCTCATTTCATGGCTGTTTGTGAGGCTTTACTGTGCGCAAATTGGCTGCTACGTTCACCCAACAAAATACGTAGTCAATCTATTTTATGGTATATCGAGTATCTATAATGATCATATATTTATTATCATGTGAAGTGGTTTGAGACATTGTGGTAAGTTGCTACATCAAATGCAAGGATTTTTATTATAAAAATTAAACTGGAGTGTGCAGTTCAGTATGCTCTGCTGTAGGAATTGTTCAAAGAAGTTTACCTAATGCTTCATAGTAGGAATCCTCCGACCAGCCATGGGGGTCGAACATATCCTGCAGGGAAATCCAAAGATATAAGACATCTGAATTATCCAACAAACGTGGCACATGTGTTGCATCCCCTTAGAGCTGCTGAAAGTAGGACAGATTTGTCATAAAGTTTGCTACATGATGCTTGGGTACATTCCCTTAACCACCAAGGGTATGATAGTTAATAAAATATCAGTGGTATGATATTTTCTATATAAACAGTTTTACTGGAGAGCAGTCTGAAAAGGAGAAGATTGAAGTGCACACTTACCTTGGGGTAATTGGTACCAAGTTCATCAATGCCACAAAACTGGATCAGTTTTTCATAAATGCTGAAAGAGAGAATAGTGAGCTGTTAAACCTTGCATCTTGGGATGTGTTATCTCATACAAGCGCATACCACATAGCCAACAGTACAGAGCAGGCACATAGCACTGCCCACTTACATCTTCTCCTTTTACCAGAACTGGAGGTCAGTGGCCCATTTCTCTCCCCCCAACCCCACCAACCAATCACAGTTAGAGAACCCGATGCTCTTACAAAGACAGAAAGTACAGACCTGGGGTTACGGAATTCCTTTTTGCGCTGAATGATATTATTCATGTCAAGTCCTTCATGCAGCTTTCTGTCATACAGCTTCTGAATCTTCTCCTATGGAAACAGAGTACAGGCTTGGGTACACATGCAGAAGGAACTAATAGTATTGATGGATGACAAAACACAGGTGGGGAATCCTAAATCTGTATCTTTCTGCAGGTAGGTGTGCCTCATGGTTGGTGTGCACTTTCCATCCATTCAGGGATCACGCATGCATTTTCTGACGGGGCCACCGGACAGGAGACAGGAACCCTGACCGATAACTCTCTCCTTAGCTCAGAGACGCTGAAGCCAATTGCAGGACATCTGCTGTAACTCAGGCCAAGATCAGTTAACTGATCTGGAATCAAAGATCCGGAATCAAACCTGGAGGTTTCCTGGTCTGTGCGACTCAGCCAGAGCCACATACTATCGAGAAATAGTATTTTTAAAAAAAATATTGAATATTGTAAGAAAAACAAAGTAGAAATTGCTCAACACTAAGGTAAGTCTAATCACAGGAAATCCTGGAGTATCCCTTTAATTTTTGTAATAGAGGCTACACCCCAGTTCCAACCCAGACGTAAAATGAGAAGAGCTGGCAAAGAGCCAACTGTGGGGCACGTCTGCACTTGGTAATCCCACACATAGTCAACATATACATTCCCTAAAGTTCTACAGGTGAATTCTCACCTCCAGACTGCTCCTCCACAGCTCTCACTGTCTCGAGGTGTGCTGAGATTAAGGGGGGCGGGGGGGGTGTGAGAGAGGTAGGGGTTGGAAGGTGGGGAAGTGGTTGAGAGAGGTGATCAGGTTGTGTCTGTATTTCCTTCTGTATTGGGATTTATGAAGGTTGGGTGCGTGTTGTGGGCAGGGATGTGTCTGTACAGTCCGTAGCAGTATGAGCTAGTCACACCTGGCTAACACATTCCTCACCGGTGCCCAATCCATTACTCAAGATAAATAATGCAGCCTCAGGCACTGGATGTGTCACTACAGGAGAAGCAGGCAACCACTAGACTTGTAAGAGCAGCATCACTCTCTCGCTAATAAGCAGAATTCTACTTGGAAAAGTGGGGAAAAGTACTATTAACACATACTCTGCAAACACCCAGTATATAAAATTAACAGAAGAATTTTTACCAGAATGCCGCTTTTCATTCTGTGAAGTTGGATTTTAAATTACGTGTTTAAATTTAGTTTTAGGCTCTTTGCTTTTTGTCTCAAGATCCAAATTCATTTTGCTGTTGAACTCGACACAGGGTTAACTCCTAGTTTATGCTGAGTTAGCTGAACTCGACTGTGGAGCACAATGATGTTAGTTCTCTGGACGGACTTCTACTATTGGTGATGGAAAATCTGTCGTGATATTCATTCCCAACTGTTATCCAGTGATTGCTGCATATAGCTGACTTAACAACTTACATTTACGTAGAGCCCTTTACGCAGAGTAACGTCTTGGAGCGCTTTAGACAGCGGCAGACACTGAGCAAGGTAGGGGAAAGCAGTGTAGGCACAGCTGAAGAGGCAGATTGATGGGCAGCCTTTGAATACAGATAGAGATTGGCGATGAGACGGATGGTTGAGAGGGGGAGTTCTCGACTTAGTGGCTGAATGCGTGGCCACCCACGGTGGGGCAGAGGAGGCAAGGAAGATGCAGGAGGCCCAAGTTTATTAAGCGGAGAGGAGAGCAGGAAAATGAGGCTGAAGAAGATAACAGAGGCAGAGGGGAGCAAGGCCTTAGCCTTATTTGTAAGGGAGGATGAGAATCATGCAGTTGATCCGCTAGGAGAAAGGGAGCCAATGAATGTGAAGGCCACGTGAGGCTAAAAATATGAGAGGCCGAGTTTTATTTGAGCTGGAGCTTGTGGATTTACAAAAGTCCAAAAGGAGGTCATTTAAACAGTCAAGCCTGGAAGTGATGAAGGCTTATTAGGAAGAGGCAATGCTTAGATTAAAGCCCATTCTACCTTTAAATATCTGACAATGCAAAGTAGCATTAAAGGGAGAGAAAGCGATGGAGAAGTAGGTTGGATAGCTACAGAGCTCATCCTCTCTTACAGCACCCTCGATCAGCCCTGGACTGGCCAAAGTGACTTGTACCTGCAAATGGTTGGAGCATCTTCCTGGAGGCTCGGGAGGGATTTTAATGTCATCTGGAGACATGTTTCTTACTTTCTCCGAAAAAGAAGCTATATAAAAGAAAATGTCCATCAGCACAATCATAGAATTATACAGCACAGAAGGAGGCCATTTCGCCCATCGTGTCTGTGCAGCGCAGCTCTTTGAAAAGAGCTATTCAAATCAATCCCAACCCCCCCGCACTCTCCCCATAGCCCTGCAAACCTGTCCTGCCCAAATAATTATCTACTTCTCTCTTAAAAGTTGTTATTGAATCGGCCTCCCCCACCCTTTCAGGCAATGCATTCCAGATCCCAACAACTCGCTGTGTGAAAAAACTTCTCCTCATTTCCCCTGTTTCTTTTAACAACTATTTTAAATCGATGTCCTCGGGTTACCGACCCACCCACCAGTCGAATTAGTTTCTCCTTGTTCATCCTATTGAATCCCTTCATAATTTTGAAAACTTCTATTAAGTCTCCTTTTAATCTTCTCTACTACAAGGAGAATAATCCTGGCGTCTCTGGCCTCTCCTGATAACTGAAGTCCCTCATTCTTGGTACCATCCTAATAAATCTCCTTTGCACCCTCTCCAATGCCTTGACATCCTTCCTAACGTGCGGTGCCCAGAACCGAACACAGTCTCTCGCTGAGGCCTAACCAGTGCTTTATAAAGGTTCATCATAACTTCCTGACTTTTGTATTCTATGACCTATTTATAAAGCCCAGTATCCCGGATGGCTTTTTAACAGCTTTATCCACCTGTGCTGCCACTTTCAAAGATTTACTTATATGAACCCCAGGTCTCTCTGTCCCTTCACCCCCTTTATGATCGTACCATCAGCTTATATTGCCTCTCCTCATTCTTCCTCCCAAAATGTATCACTTTGCATTTCTTCACATTAAACTTCACCTGCCACCTGTCTGCCCATTTTACCAGTCTGTCTATGTCCTCTTGCAGTCTGTTACTATCCTCCTCACTATTTATACGTTTCCTAGCTTAGTATCATCTGCAAACTTGGAAAATGTACTTCCTATACCCAAATCCAGGTCATTTATATAGACTAAAAAGAGTAGTGGTCCCAATACCAACTCTGGGGGACACTATTTAAAAAGGGTGGAAAGGGAAAGATGGGGAACTATAGGCCAGTTAGTCTCACATTAGTGATAGGAAAAAATTTAGAATCGTTGATTAAGGATGTGGTAGTGCGATATTTAGGGGAGCACAATATAATTAGGCCAAGTCAACACGGCTTTACAAAAGGAAAGTCATGTTTGACAAATCTCATAGAGTTTTTTGAGGATATTTCCAGTAAACTAGATAAGGGTGAATCAGTGGATGTGGTCTATTTGGACTTCCAGAAGGCATTCGATAAGGTGCCGCATAAAAGGTTAGTCCAAAAGGGCCCATGGAATTCGGGGGAGCATATTAACATGGATTGGGGAAATGGTTAATGGGTAGGAAACAAAGAGTAGGGATAAACGGGTCCTTTTCAGATTGGCGGGATGTGAAAAGTGGAGTTTTCAGTCAGAAAAACAACCGGTCACCACCACACTCTGCTTTCTGGCGCTTTAATTCCGTGGGCTTCTACTTTGCTTACAAGTCTCTTATGTGGCACTTTATCAAACACCTTTTGAACATCCATATCAACTACATCAGCTGCTCTACCTTCATCCACCCTCTCCGTTACTTCATCAAAAAAAATGAGTGCACAATGGATAGCAAACCCATCACCTGGCGCTATGTACCAGCCAGCAGCAACACTGGGCTTCCCCCCGCCCGATGTAAAAGGCGCTATACAAATGTAATTTTTTGATTGTATTGTATCTTCATTTCGCCCACAAAACATATAGTTATTCACTTTACAATATATTCTGTGAAGCACTTTTAGATGTCTAGAAGACCTGATAAGGAGCTATATCAAATGCAAAGATTATTATTAATATTATCTACAATGCTCCAAATATAAAACCTAACACCCACCCAGATCTGATCTTTACAAATGAACCCCACATCCCTTAGGTGATTCCACTTCCGCCCACCCCCCCACCTGCTGAGCGAGTCACTACATTACGCATGGAACAAGGCTCCACAATGACACGTCTTTTCATAGTTGTGGAAGTGATTACCGGAGGCACACTGGGCAATTATTGGATTTGAATGAAAAGCCCATGATAGACGTCCTCTCTGCTAACACTGATTGAATTGCTGATATCCTTGGGATGAATCGCTGGGCAAATAAGTAATTTCTCGGAAGAGCACCCATAATTTACTGAAGTGTAAAACATTTAAAACACTGGCATATTCGTGTCAATATCGGATCAGAAGAAGCACTTTTGATTCTCCTCTTGTACTTCTATCCAGCATTTCCTGGGGGAGTAAGTAATTAATGTGCATCATTTCCAATGTGTAATTAATCCTATGACTGTGCCTGGCTTGCCTAAGAACCGTGGTAAATTCTGAGCCCTACCTATTGTTGTGGAATACATACTGAAAAAACACAAATGAAGAGGGGAAGAATGTAGAATTTTCAATGAATTCCATTGATGAACAAAACAACTGATAAGTGTGCAATCAGCCATCTTCAAAAATAATATTTTGTGAAATAAATGCAGACACTATCAACAACAACTTATGATAAACCAAAAAATAAAGTGTTCTTCATATGGACAAATGTCTCAGACACCATCCTGTGCGAAGGGTGCTATGTCAATGCAAGTTGTTGTTGTGGTGGTTGTAAATTAGCTGAGGGTTATCACCGATCTACACCAGTCATCTTTACAAGGGTAAATTTGTATATAGAAACTCAAGAGGGTACACCTTTGTAACTCAAGTTATTTTAACAGACCACACATTAAGCTACATTTTTAATACAATTCTTAATCTGAAGATCACCCCAATGTGCTGAATTAGTTGTTAAATTACATGAACTTATCTGAGCATTCTTAAAAGGTTGTGTGTGGGTGTATGTCTCAAGTCCTTTATGACTGGTGAAATTGGTATCTCGGGATCTCCAATTCTACACATTTTTATGATCAGTGAAAGTAAGATAAATTAAACCACCTGTGTTTCACACATTCATACTTTTATGACTTCCTGATGATTAAGGTTTTATTCAAAGGTTTTGTTAATTGACTTTATTTCAACATGTATTTCCGAGATAAAGTTTTCTCTAGATTAGGGTAGTGGATTGTTCAGTCTTACAGCCTGTGCCAGATCTACAATGATTCCTCTATACAGACTGTAGATTCTACAGAAGAGGTCTTGCATGAAGTGCCATCAGCAATGTCCCCCTCGCCCACTAAATCTTTTGAGCCAAGCAGGTAACACAGGAAGCCAATAAAAGATTGCCTGCCTTCATCCTTCAGTGATTCACTCAACACTGTACAATGTTGATCAAAGTCACATTACCCCTGCTCCAGCCTTGATATTACTGTGGGCTGGATAGAGCACACAGCTCAGCCTGCCTTGTCTCACTATAAATGGAACACTTCCAGCAAAAGGCCGAAATGTTGAGTTTCAGTGTGGTTTAGGCAACAAAGAAGCAGTGTCTGAGCTTCTGTACAATACACTCCATCTCGCCCCAGGGGCACGTTTGGAACAGTGGGGCGTGACCTGGTAAAGATGAAGAAAAGGCAGATTAAATAGAGAATTCTGAGAGAGCCAGGCTGAAAACTGTACTCAAATATGCTGCAAAATCAAATCTAAATCATCAACATGTTTTGGGAAAGGGCAGAGAACAATGGAAGCTTCAGTGCATTGGCCTGAACTTTGATCCTGTTGAATGCTCAGACCTTGCAGTCACACTCTACACTGTAAATAATAACTGATTCAGCAATCAGTGTGCACTCGGACACTGAAATGCTCACACGCCACAGTCATTCGACTGATCTCTAATCAACCGGAGCTCTTTTCTTTGCTCATCTTAGTGTGGGCAGGAGACAGGACTCCACTGGTTTGCTGTGTATTAGGTATTCTGTTGAGTGCCACTCCCTGTAGCTTAACAGGCACTGCACACAAACTCAAACTCATATCCAAACTCAGAATAAGCTCACCTCCCCTCCACCTGCATAATAAGAATAGCCCCAGTGAGTGAGCGGCAGGCATCGTGTTCACCAGACTGTGGGAATTAACTGTACTAACTTACACTGTGATTGGATCTCTGCCAGGAACAATAGCTGCCTGAATAGAAGAAACCTTGAAAGGAACCGAATAAAAATACAGCAGCACAGTTGCAGACAAAAGCCTGGCATTTATATTGCCATGACAATGTGAATAAAGAGCTGTTCCCTGCTCGAAGGGGGCCATCCAATGCATCAAGCTCTTGCGTGCGCACACACACACACAGCAATAGATTCCAGCAGAGTTTACAACCTTTACCCACAGCAATAACACCAATAAACCACAGAGTGCAATCCGTTCAGATGGCCAAGTCACAGACGGGAGAAATTGCTGGAAGCTCAAAACTCACATCTCCAGCTGAATGGGCAGGGCTGTTCAACCACATATTTGGAACACTATGAGTACTCCAAGCAGTTAGAGCAGCATTATGAGTTTGGAAAAGCAGCAAACTTAGGCGAGAATACCAAGGTTGAGGAGGAGATAGCAAGAGAGGAGAAAGCAGCAAGAGGCAGTCAGCACTGCCTGGTCACTGTTACAGAACTGTAGGTACCTCAGGATAAATGTGTTGAACACTCTTCGGCCACCCTCCTGCTCTCTGTCCCCTCTGATAACACCCCAACACCCCCTGCTCGGATCCAAATCCCTGACTGTCCGGCGCCTTGGGACATCCTCCCCACATGAAAGGCGCTATACAAATGTAATTCTGTACTGTATTTATCCAAGCACTAGCTTAAACATTCTGACCACATGCAGCTTTTATTCACTTGTGCCCCAGAAGACTCAGATGGTCTTGGGTAAGATAAGGGGCTTTCCCTGGTCTGTGTTGAGTTATCTAACCACAGTTCGCTGCAATTGGTCTACTACAAGTGGCTTTACTGTGCTCACATATATTTTTGTTAATTGGGGGTGAAAGGAGAGAGGAAGTCATTAAGTCATGACTTTTGACCTCCCTTGCTAACCAGTAATCTTTACTGGAAAGTTCATACTCACATCTACATTAACTAGAAACTGGACTGAACTTAGATGCAATATCACTGTCTAGGCTGATATAAAGACGGGTGTGATACCAATGGTACAATATTCCAACAAGAGCTCTTGCTTTTAGGAAAGGAGCGAAGAGGCTGCTAATAATCAGTTAGTACTTGGCCAATGACACTAACTTTTATTGGGCTAAAGGGTTGTTGAAGTCGTCACTAAGAACCACACTCCCAAAGCTCAGTGTAATACATATGTCTGCTGCCCACTTGGACAGGCTGTTCAGGTATGTTGAGGAGGGATTGAAAAGCAACTCTCTTCTGGCTGGCATGGATAAGCAGGTTCCCCACGCTCTGCATGCCACGTTCCAGGTTAATAGAGGTCCTGGGTTCAAGCTTTTTAACACAAATACCGTATCAAAAAGATGTGGCAAACTGGCCAGTAAGCTCCAGCTACCAGTTTGTACTGCAACATATGCCTGACATTTCTACGTGGTGCCCATCAAACACTGGGCTCTCTGTCTCACCCACTACATTCATACACCAATAATACCAGACAGTCGAGTCCTTTTCTCCCCGGAATCCTTTTTGGCTATGTCTATCAGAGCAAGAATCTGTAAACAACATTCTACGTGCTAGATGTCTCACACAGACTGTGAGGCTTCTACGCAATGTAAAATGGGTTCTCGAGTCAAATGCAACAAGGTTATAAAAGTATGGCTTATTCACAATATAGCAACATCAGAAAAAGAATGAACTTACATTTTTATAGTCCTTTACATTGAAAAGTACTTTATAGTAATTAATAATAATCCTTGAGCAGAACATTATGGGTCTCTGAATTTGATATAGCTGCTATAACCCTTAAACATCTCAAAAGCACTACACAGCTAATTTGGTGGAATGACTTGTTTTTTGTAGGCGAATGAACCTCTTGGCTAGGGAACTGGGAGAAAATCCCTCCTCTTTTCCAAGTATGTCTTTAATGTCTACTTGAGGAACAAGCAGATAGGACCTTTGTGTAACATCTCAGCTGAAGGATCTCTTGACAATGCGCACTGCCACAGCACTGGACTGGAGTTTCATCCTAGAACCTCCCATCACCCACCCTTTCTGATTCAGGGGCAAAATGAAAAGGAGTCAAGCTGATATCAAAGATGGAATGCACCAGTACCAAGTCCTACGTTCAGCTACACACATGCGTGCATTTACATAATTTTGTAAAACCTTGTTCTCAATACAAGATGGTTGTTCTATAAACCAACATGTTCTTATACTGCACCCATGGTTGACCATAGTCTCTTCCTGATCACAGCTGACTTTGGTTTTGGCTATAAGAAAATTTCCTCCTCCGCCTCCCCAACTAAACTTCTTGATTTCTAAGGAATAGCCACATTACTTGAACCATCATTTTAACACCATTTCAATATTCAGCTAACCATTACCTGACTATACAGTGTATAGTTTGTGAAACGACATGTCAAGCGACTGCCAGGATGGTGGAAGGAAAACTAGATGGACTTCTTTTGCCTAGCAAATTCTTATGTTCTTATGATAAAATAATAATATGTTCAATTACTGATAACATCCAGAAAATATTTGGGTTGTTTTAATCAAGACATTACCTGTGGTTTAGCCACCATAGTGGCTGGGGGACTCAGCAATGTTTTGCAGGAACCATTGTTCACGCTAGGCCATCAACACAATGAAGTGGGTAAATCAAGCAGAAATAATCTGACAGGAACAGCAGCTAAAAACATTTAATTAGACGTAAGTGTGTGCAGTTAGAGAATAAGTCATCGACTTTAAGTCACTTGACTTTTCTGAATTCCCCGGTGTGCAAGTGAGTGCTTGCAGGTTTTGCAATACTTTTCCTTAAGACAGTTTAGCCCTTTACAAACTTTATATTTTGGAGGAATGATGCGAATGCAAAAATGGACAGTGTACATACCCAGAGGCAAATTCCTCAAAGAAAATAATTATATTTGGGCAGATTAAGCCTGTCTTTCATAACTGGTTGCTAGATCAACATTGTGTGCGTTGAACTTCTTTCTACAGAGCACTAACATTATTACAGGCGCACTCACCCTCTACCCCTGGCAGCTTCCCAACATCCAATCTTGCCAATTTCAACCTCAAACAGCTCTGAGGCATCACAAGGCTAAGCAATTCACTTCTCTGGTGACAGAGCAGATTAGCAACTTCCTGCCATCAGCATGTCTAACGCAGGTCACACAACAAAACTACAGAGGATATAGCTGCCACACCCATGTGAAAGACACGGACCCCAGATAGTGTTTTCACTGATGGTCCCCACCCTGACCGACTAACTACAGTAGGCTGAGTCATCGACAGGCTGCTACACAGCACCACGCTACAAGAATGTAAAGCTGCAAGGTACAAATTCAACTGTGTAACATAACAGGAAATGCTGCCGATAAGACTCCACATACATCAGGACACAGCTTTAGGAAAACCAAATCTGTGCAAATGAAGCCTGGAAAAAATTAGGGCCAGGTGAGCAAGAAGGGCCTCCAAGAGTGTGTTTTGGGCTACTGCTGGAGTTTAACCAGTTAAAACTGTGTAACTTCCCATTGTGAATGCTGTCTGGCAAGCTTATCACTGTTTGGCAAAGAGTGACATACAGTGCTGACGGTTGCAGCATAAGGACTCTAGAAGTGGTGCAGAGGAGATCAACGAATCTGATTCCGAGTATTAGAAGAACTAACTAAGAGCAACAATTAGACAATGAGAGAACGCGTCTCATTCTAGAGGTGCAAATTTTAAATGAAATTGAAAAAGTAAACCTAGAACAATACTTTAAGAATGCACCAAAATTGTAGAACAACAAGACTCAGGGCTAATCTTAGGATACCAGGAAGTTTTTCTTTACTCAGAGGATAATTAATGACTGTAACAGGATGCAAGAAAGTATAGTTGAGGATAAGATACTGAATGTATTATTTTGAAAAAAACACTTGAAAGCTGTGATCGGAGTATGGTAAGCAGTAACACCTTCCTAGTCATGTAAGTTTAGGGCAGAGCTTAAAGGTACACAGGAAAGGTACAAAGTGCATATCTGCACACAAACACACCCTCAAAAGCAGAAACGTTGCAAAGACGTTTACATTCTGCACACATCTGAGATGTTCCAGAGATTAGAAACATTTGAATCATTTGGAACTTTAGATAAGCATTGTTTATGATTGATCCAGAATACAAGAATCATATTTTGCACACTTGTCTGTGGCCAATTGTCATAATCCCTTCCTCCACTCCCGCTGAGATCAGCTCAAATCGGACAATAACATAACAACACGTAGGAGCAGAAGACCATTCGGCCCTTTGAGCCTGCCCCACCATTCAATCATGGTTGACCTTCTAATCTAACCCCAGCTAATAACATAACCCTGCCTTCTCCCCGTATCCCTTAATCCCTTTTGCAATAAGAAATCTATTTATCTGTCTTGAATATGTTCGCGGACTGAGCGTCAACAACCCTTTGGGGTAGTGAGTTCCATACATTCACTGCCCTTTGAGTGAAGAAGTTCTTCCTCAACTCAGTGCGAAAGGGCTGCCTCTGATTTTAAGGTTGTGACCCCTGGTTTTAGTTTCTCCAACCAGGGGAACAATCTCCCACTATCTACTCTATCTGCCCTTTGATGATCTTATAGGTTTCTATAAGATCCCCTCTAATTCTTCTATATTCCAGAGAATATAGGCCCAAATTGGTCAGCCTATCCTCGTAACTCATCCCCTTCATCTCTGGTACTGACCTAGTAAATCTACGTTGCACCCCCTCCAAGGCAAGTACATCCTTCCTTAAATAAGGAGACCAAAACTGCACCAGGGCCCTATATAGTTGCAGCAAGACTTCCCTACTCTTATACTCTAATCCTTTCATAATGAATGCTAACATACCGTTCGCCTTCCTAATTGCTGCTGCACCTGCAGACTAACTTTCTGCAGACATCACTGTCCCTCAACTGTACAAGCACAGATTATACAAGTATGGAATGGAAATACTCTTCCTGAAATAAGGAAGATTTCCCTCTGATTTGGGATCAAATACGTTGGACCTGTGTGCAGAATGTAAATTGAATTTGCATGTTGCAGCCATGTCCGTCCCTGTCCACCTTTTCCCCGCCATTTGTTACGTACCAACTAGCTCCTGAGGATTCTTCTTTTCCACATCAAGAATTTCCTGAAAGAAATGAAAACACTTCACAATCAGTGGACATACTGGATGGAGTCCATTCATCCAACAGTGCTATATGACACTGGGGAGAGATGCGCCCAGCAGTTTGTGATTGATATGGCTGTATTGGGATCGTGATAGAATGTATCTAATACTTGAGTGAGTGCAACAGCCTAAAATCATGTTTGCTGGCGCACAAAGTAATGTCGTTCACGTATTTTAATATACCAGAGCTTTTCATACGAAGATTTCCCTCTGATTTGGGATCAGAGGGAAAGATCAGGTTCAGAACAGGTGTGTGTGCCAAGAGATAATTGGAATAAGTCTGTGGCACATTACACAACCTACAATCTATATTGCCCACCAGGCAAGAATAACTAATGCAGGTTTGCGAAAAGGATTTAACCACTTTCACCTGGTAGCCCATTTATTAACCTTCCTCTCTAAATAATACTCTTCCCTCAAAACCCATTCATCAAGCTCCCCAACTCCATACACTGTTACGCCAATCATTTCAAAGGCAAGGAAAGTGCTCAAATTCCTCTAATCTTGGGTGCTTCTGCTCTGTGCATCAGATGTCATCCGAACACTCTCCCTGAGAAACACATCAAACATCACAATGAGGTTGTAGGGTACAGGGTTACACAGGTATTCTGTAGTTTTGCTCAATTTATATTTGAGGGCAAGAGAACTTTTTCAAAGTTCCTCAGGAGATGAAATGCTTTGGGTGGGGCCTATGGGAGGTCGGATTACATTCTGGCAACTGTGCTGGGTGAGGTTTTCTCATTCCATGTTTTCCTGCAATCTGACACTTTGAAAGATTGTGAGATATTGTTATTTCTACTTCTTTCCAAAAACCTTCCTCTCCCTAAATCGCTCTATCTTGCACCCTCCCTCTCTGCTTTGAAAATGCTTCTAAAATCCTAACTCTTTAGAGTATACCATCTGTCACCTCCCACTCCCACCTTCAACAACAACAACAAGATTCCACTTATAGAGCGCCTTTCACGTCAGGAGGACGTCCCAAGGCGCTGCACAGTTGGGTCATGACCCGAGCAGGGGGGAAATGGTCAGGGTGAGGGGAGGGAAGGGAGGGAGAGAGGAGGGGGGAAATGGTCAGGGTGAGGGGAGGGAAGGGAGGGAGCGAGGAGGAGGAAGAGAGTCGAGAGGGGAGCTGAAGGCACGGTCAAAGAGAAAGGTTTTGAGACCGGCCTTGAAGGAGGAAAGGGAGGAAGCAAGGCGAAGGCACTGGGGGATGGAGTTCCAGAGCCTGGGGGCTGAGAGGCTGAAGGCCCGACCACCGATAGTAGGGCGGTTGGGGCGGGGGACGTGGAGCAGACCGGAGCCAGAGGAACGGAGGGTACGGGCAGGTAGGTAGGGGGATAGTAGGTTGGAGAGGTAGGAGGGAGCAAGGCCGTGAATGGCCTTGTAGGTGAGGATGAGGATCTTGAAATCAATCCTCTGGGGGATGGGGAGCCAGTGGAGGCGAGCGAGGGTGGGAGTGATGTGGTCGCGAAGCCTGGTGCGGGACAGTACACGAGCTGCAGAGTTCTGAATGACCTGCAGCTTGTGGAGGGAGGTGGCGGGAAGGCCGGCGAGGAGAGAGTTCCCATAGTCCAGCCTTGAGGTGACAAAGGCGTGAACCAGGGTTTCAGCAGCGTGAGGGGTGAGGTAGTGCCGTAGTCTGGCGATATTCCGGAGGTGATGGAAGGCGGTGCCAGTTGTGGTGCGGATGTGAGGGAGAAAGGACAGCTCAGGGTCGAACAAAACGCCGAGGTTCCTGACTGGCTTTGAGAGGTGGAGAGTGCAGCCTTGGATGCTGATGGTGTCAGCGCCTGAGGTGCGGAGGCGCTGACGTGAGCCAATCAGGAGGGCCTCGGTTTTTCGCACGTTGAGCTGAAGAAAGTTGTCTCTCGTCCAGGACTCGATGTCGGACAGGCAGGCTGTCAGGACATCGGTGGTCGTGGAGTTGAGAGTAGAGGAGGAAAGGTAGAGTTGGGTGTCATCCGCATACATGTGGAAGTTAACCCCATGTTTGCGGATGATGTCACCAAGGGGGAGCATATAGAGGGTGAAGAGGAGGGGACCGAGGACAGAGCCCTGAGGGACACCACATGAGACAGTACGGGGGGTGGAGGAGAAGCCATTCGTTGAGACGAAGTGAAGACGGTGGGAAAGGTAAGAGCTAAACCATTCAAGGACAGTGCCTTGAAGGTTGAGGTGGGAGGACAAGCGGTGGAGTAGGATAGCGTGGTCGACCGTATCGAATGCTGCCGATAGGTCGAGGAGGACGAGGAGACAGAGGGAGCCCTGGTCACAGATGGTCAGGATATCATTGGTGACCTTGACCAGGGCAGTTTCTGTGCTATGAGCAGCACGGAAACCTGACTGAAGGGGTTCGAAAAGAGAATGGGTGGAGAGGAAAGAGCGCAGTTGGGAGGCGACAACTCTTTCCAAGACCTTGGAGAGAAAGGGGAGGTTGGAGATGGGCCGGTAGCTTGATAGCTGCGACGCATCAAGGGAGGGTTTTTTCAGGGTGGGCGTGATGATGGCAGTTTTTAATGGAATGGGGACAGAGCCAGAGGAGAGGGACAGGTTTATGATGTCAGTGATGTGTGGGGCAAGAAAATGGAGCTGGGAGATAAGGAGTGGAGTGGGGATGGGGTCAAGGGAGCAGGTGGTTGGTTTTAGGGATAGGATGAGTTCAGTGACAGAGGGTGGGGAAACGGGTACGAAGGTGTGTAGGGGAGGATGGGTAGGAGTCGGAGTGTGGGAGGGAAGGGGTGGGTGGTGGGTGGAAGTTGGAGGGGAAGTGACCGCGGAGCGGATTCCCTTGATCTTGGATTCAAGGAAATCCAGCATCTCCTCGCAGTGAAGGTTGGAGGAGATGACCTGCGCGGGGTGGCGGGGGGGACGGAGGAGTCGGGATGTGGTGGAAAACAGTAGCCTGGGGTTGTTCTTCGCCTCCAGGATTATCCTGGAGTAGAAGGACGACTTGGCCGAGGCTAGAGTGGAGCGGTAAATTTTGAGGAGGTCCAGCCAGATTTGTCGGTGGACCGTTAGGCCAGATTTGACAAAGGTGCGCTCAGCAGCCCGCACCTGGCATTTCAGTGAGCGGAGGTGGGTGGTGTACCAGGGGGAGGAGCGGGAGTAGGAGACAGTGCGGGAAGTGATGGGGGCAAGAGTATCGAGTGTGGAGGAGAGGATATTGTGGAGGAGGGAGAGAGGAGAAGAGGGGTCGGTGAGCCCAATCCTGTTTGGGCTCCCACTCAGTCTCATGAAACTTTTGAGATGTTTTCCTGTGTGAAAGGTTCTATATAAATACAAGTTTTTGCATAAATCATTATTGGGCTTTCAGAGGAGAGGATGGAAGCGCAGCAAAACTCAGACACTGAACAGCTGTGTAGAAACAAGTGATGAGTCACAAAATAATATAGTAATAATCCTTGCATTTGATATAGTGTCATATCACTTCTTCGAGATGTCTGAAAGCGCTTCACAGAATATACTGTGAAGTGAAATTAAATTAAATAATTTGTAGACGAAACGCGGCAGCCAACTGCGTAGCCAGTGTCCCACAAACAGTTGTGGATTAAACTGACCAATTTATTATTATTATTACTTAGGTTATGTACAACAACAAATTGCATTTCTACAGCGCCTTTTGTGTTCCGAGGATGTACCAAGGCACTGCTGAGGGTTTGCACTGGTATAAAGCGATAATCCATCAGGTGACGCCAAGTACAGCTCCACCTCCAAACTCATTTTGTTTAAAGAGTGTGTGCCTTACACCTTATTGAAATAGCTTTTGTAAACATCTGATTTAATTTCAGCAGCCATGCATGAAATTCCCCTCCTGCCAACTGTATATTGAATTATTACTGTTAATTCCTAGATATTTGCCTCCACGGGGATTTAAGAAGATTCTCAAGGATGCAATTAGATAAAGCTGACATCCAAATTGTACAGGGTGACCATAAAGTTATGATACGTTACAATGTCTAATAAGCCTTAAACAAATGAAGAAATAAAGTAATTATTCATTAAAATATAAATGATATCACAACATTTTGGGCACCCCGTATTTCTGAAATTGGGTAGACACCAAATTACCAATTGTATGGGTTGAACATCCTGACTAGGTCCTGCATAGGCTTGCTGCACAAAAAACTATACAGGAGGACTGCGTATGGTGGACTGCGTATTGCATTTCTAATTAATAAACTATATATACTTGTATATGCATTTCACTCACACTAACGTGAACTTTATTTCTGTATACCAAGTGTGACGAAAATGTGGAATGCAATGCCTCAAAAGACTGTAGAGGGAGAATTAATTATGAGATGTACAAAGATTTACTTGGGAGGTGAGGGGCTTGGACTAAAGTCAGGAAAATATATGAAAAGATCTGTCGTGGTGTGATAAGTTGGTGGAATAGGCTTGATAGGGTGAATGTCCCTCTCTTGTTCTTATGAGTGAAATAGTCCACCAGGAGAGCCCTATCTCATGGCATTTTGTCCAAATATGGAAGAAGGAAGAAAGCAGCTAAAATGGTGTTTCTGAATATGAAGTTCCTCAAATCAAGAATGTAACAGAAACAAAACCTCTCACATTGCAGCATAACAGACTAAAGACTCCTGGTTGTTAAGGCTATGTAATCTTATACAGTAACTGAGGGCAATTCAGGACATGTCCCATTACAGAAACACAAGAGGCAGAGGATTCTTGATCATAGATATCCTAATTTATATATATTTACATATTGCCTATCATTTGAATGAATATCTCATAGCGCTTCACACAACTGACTGGGAGCTGAAGCTGGGTGGGGCGAAAGGTGACCAAAAGTGCAGTTATAAAGAAGGCTTAACAACAACTTGAATTTTTATAGGACCCTTCATGTGGATAATGAAAGGTGGGTCGGGGGCAAGGTGGAGGGATACCAGGATGCAGTTCCAGAGTGCAGGGGCAAAATAACACAGTGGAGGAATTTGAACATCAGT